TCACATGAAAATATGGCAGCAAACCCTTTTGGGGAAACTTAATCCCCTACTCTACCTCCCAAAATGAAGCCACTGGTTCCATGGGGTCCTTGGTTGACCAAAGTTCTACTCTGTGCCTGGGCCTGGTTCACTGATAACATGGTTGAAATCCAATGGTGTCCACGGGCTGCTGCAACTGTCTGATCTCAGCACCAGGAATGCATAACTGAAAACTGACAAGATTGCTTGGCACAGTGGGCAGAACCCAAAGCCGTTCTCATAGCTATGGCCAATACTTATCTTGATAAACTTATATTTTTACTGACGCTTGAGCTATGGCCAAAAGTCAATAAACTATTTGATCTGCCACTTGGAAAACTATGGACTGGCATATTAAAGTGACCCCTGTTTGGGCAACAAACTCTGGAAACAAACCTTAGCTGCTGATCAAAACATCTGGGTCTTTCACGAGATGCCCACAGCAAGGACCCATCCTCTGAAAAAACCTGATAGAGCAATCAAGCACCTGACAGAGACTGCACCAGACAGACTGCCACAAATGCTATATGGTCCATTTTCCTGCTCAACATGGCAATGAATTTGCCATCACAGACTGGGCACAAAGTAAAGGACTTTATTTTTCTGCTGCAGAGGTTACTACAGCATGCCAGACTTAGGATTCATGCAAAAAGTTGATCAGGTTTTTTCCTAGAAAATTGATTACATGAGACCATTGATCACCTCTTTGTGCTTTCAATGGTGCCTTGCCACTGTTAACACCTGTTCGGGTTATGGTGCTACTGTTCCAGTCTGATCAGCTAACCCAAGCCACATGACTGTGGCTCTTGAAAATTAATCTATTTAATGTTTGTGGCTTTATGGACCATTTGTAGCCCAAGACTGGTTCCCTTTTTATCACAAAAGCTACTCAAAAATGGGCTGAAAGTAGAGGTGTTTGGTGGACCTTCCACACTTCCTACTGTTGAAATGTATCATTGAACATTGAAATGGCCTTCTCAAAAATTCACTCACAAAGACTTCTGGCTCTAGCACCCTCATCTCCTCCTGGTCCACACATCTTAGTAAGGCAGTGCAGTTACTATAATGGCCATTCCCAGGAAGAGATCATCTTCTTTTGGCCCCTTCACAGATAATTATCAGTAAGAACATATAATACATGTATAACCTATATAAGGTTATATACACTTATATGAAAATCCAGGATTCTACTCTGACCACTCCTGGGCGTGATGTGTTCTTATTTATCCCAACCCTAACCCCCAGGATGTCTGGTGGTTGACCTACCAGAAGGCAGCCTAAAAGACTCAAGTATAATTCTGATTTAGCCACCTGTATTATTTTGTTGAGTTGCCATGATGCTAAATCAAAAGGATGATAACCACCTAGTTGATTACACACCTCATCAAGATCTCCTACCACAGACCACAGGGACAAAAGTGGAAGACAACACTGGGTCTCCATAAGTTTTTTTAAATGCCCTTGTCCCTCTTGCTCCTGAATGTTCTGGAGAATAGGTCGAGGTGCCAGTAAGGGATGAGTAGAAACAAGGTGAAGTTTTAGCTACTGAAATGGGACAAACTGATTTTGTGACAGTGAAAGGAGATCAATAATGTAGTTTGATAATGAGGTGCCTGGGGAGCAGATACCTTAAACCCTGAGAGGTGCGAAGGATGGAAGGACACTAACAATCATTTGTTTTTCAGAGCCACCTTCCTATGAAGGAAAATGCCTTGGTGTTCCTCTCTAAAACTGTTGTAAGTGCCTTAAATTTAACTGACTATTGGCCCTATCATACCCACCAGATTCTCTAACCACAATTTGGTTGTCATTCTCCTTAAATTTACTGAGAAAACTACCAGAAACGGGAGGGGATGGCCCTAGCTTCTGCCTCAAAATAACAACAATCAACATTTCCATGCCCATTGCCATCGCTCAGTCATTCCATGGCATGGACAAATAGCACCCAGTCTGTATCAAGGAAAAACAGGAAAAGTTGAACTGACTGCCCTCAAGCAGTCTCCCCAAAGACAAAGAAGAAACACAGAATTGGGAACCCTAAGGTTTACTACTCAGCAAGGGGGCCACAGGCACCGTCAACCTTTGCAGCCTAAGTAATGTAGGTCCCACTTGGTGTCCCCAACAGTTGTAAGTGATACTTTCTTTCCAAAGGCACCATGTGTACCTTCAGGACTATACTTCTTGTGTAGAAGCCAGGCATTAACTTCTCTCCTAAAAACATGGTGGCTTGCACTTACACCCTGGGAATGGTCATAAGTGGTCATAATTCAACTGTTTATGGAAACATCCCCAGTAGATCAGGTAACCCTTAAACAACTGCAAAGATTTTTTCAAAATGAGACGACCCCTGGTTACTCAGAGGAGGTTTCTGGAGGATAACTGACTAGCTACTCACGTTCACCCTATGGGCAGTTATTCACTTAGAAAAGGTGGTAGAAAATTGTCTCTGACTTTAGCTGAAGTAATGAATGACACCACTTCAGCCTGTGAAGGCATTCAGGTCAACATCAACTCACTGTTCATACATTGTTATGGACATAATTGCCCTATACTTCCTCCTTGAGGGCCAAGACAAAGTCTGTGCAATCACTAATATATTCTATTGTATCTGGATTGTCACCATCCTAGATGAAAAAGATAATGACCACTTAGTTCAGTACACTGCTCACCAAGTTCCCCTACCATGGCCCATGTAGACAAACGTGGGAGATATATTGGGTCTCTGAAAATTTTTGAAAATACCCTTGACCCTCTTCCAAATGAATCTTACAGAGAAAAGATCTCAGTCCCAGTGGAAAGGTCTCAGGCTGAGTGGAAAGGTCAGTACAGGGACTTAAAGAGAAACCACTCTAACTTTCTAAGGTGGTCCCTGATGGTTTATGGGATTTGTTCAGCTATTTGATTCTGGGACCCTGGAGATTTGGTTGAGGTTAATAATGCAAGTTTGTCTCATCTTGTTATTTGGTGTCCTGTTGGTAGTAGCTTTATTTAAATGCTGTATGCAGCACATGGACTGGGTTTGACCCCAGCCTCAGTCAGTCAGATTAATCACAGTGGTCAAGGGAGTGGTATACTAATGGGAAAATTCACCAGAAGCCAAGAGGATGTAGAAACAAGGTTTAGATCTTGTTGGGAGACAATTCCTCATGGTTCTCTCGCATTTCTGTACATCTTATGAAAAAGACACTGATTCTCCTTTGTTCTAGACTATCTTTTCAAGGATCTTTGTATAGAAAGCAGCCTTAGAAGATAAAGATATTATCTCCTTCCAGAGCAAAGGGCAGGTATACTTGCAGTCTTGGAAATAGTGTCTACCTCTGGAGCAATGTACAGGCACACTACCTGTCTGGTAAAATAACAATAATATCTCCCTTTGGAGCAAAGGATAGGCATGCTTACTGCCCATTCTAAAAGATTCAGGTTCCCAAAGCAAGCCACTGAGTGTGCAAGTGTCATTTGCTCCTGTTCACTTAGGCCTGTGGGAAGCAGAGCTTGGAAACTGGTATAAATGTTGATACTCTGGCAAGTCCTTCTGCTGTGAGTGCTGAACTGTCCCATGTCTCTGACCAGAAGTTTCATGTCTTCTAATGTGCCCCTAAAACTGTGGCAGTTTCACCTGTTAGTTTGCAAGTAGAGCAAAATCTCAGTTCCTGAGAGTCACCATACATTTGTTATTCCATAGCAATAGTATCCTTCCCTAAACCACCATACTTAGAAAAGAAAAGTTGAAGACCCATTAGTAGAAGGGGAATGTGGCTTATTCATTTTATTTTTAAATGATCCTTTATAATATAATTGTGTACTTAAATTAGGAGAGTAAAATGGTTACTAAAACACTCTCAATAGGGTAATCTTTTGCCACTTGTCCTTCCTGCTGAAAATTATTTGAAATGCATTTTCTTTCTTCCGTGTCATTCTATTTTTAATCCTGAGTGGGATTAAACTGGTACTTTCTAATCTTTTAAGTCAATAGTGAAGAATGTCAACAAAATATGTTTACAAATAATATTTCAGGCTTAATGTTATCTGTTTGGATACAGTCATCATTTCAAAGCTGACAAAGGTGATGGCAACTGATAAGGCACCTTTAATTCCTCAATAGTTTATATAACTTTTATTTTCTCTATGTGAAACAATCTTGTTATAAAATAAAAACCAAAAAAGAAAAGTATGAATGAATGAGATCTTTTATTAACCTAAATTTTATATTATAAAATAATACATTATCTTCATGAAAACTCAAATATTACAAAAATGTATTACTTCAAAGACTAAAGATTCCATTAGTTCAAGACTTCCAAAAAGTAGCTACTGTTAATGGTTTGCTATGTAAATACTAACATAAACATATATTTAATAGAAATATGATAGTCTACATGTTGTTTTCACTTTATCTTGAACCTATTGGCATAGATATCTCAAGCTTTAACTGCAGAGTTTCACAGAATTCCATTACTTTGGTATATGGAAATTTCTTATCTAACTTCTTATTCATGGTGTGTTAGGTTATTTCTACTTTTGAACCAGCAAAAATAATGCTGCAGTGAATATTCTTGTATTTACATCCTCATTTTTTTTTTTTTTTAAGGATTGGTACCTGGGCTAACAACTGTTGCCAATCCTTTTTTTTTTTTCTGCTTTATCTCCCCAAACCCCCCCGGTACACAGTTGTATATCTTAGCTGCACGTCCTTCTAGTTGTGGGATGTGGGACGCCGTCTCAACGTGGCCTGACGAGCGCTGCCATGTCCGCGCCCAGGATCCGAACCCTGGGCTGCCGCAGCGAAGCGCGCGAACTTAACCACTCGGCCATGGAGCCGGCCCCCACATCCTCATGTATTTCTAAGAGCATTTTTGTTGGATAAATACCCACAGAGCTATAGACATGCTGAATGACAGGGCTTACATGAATGCTACTATTAGGTTAATATAGCCCCTAATTTATAAATGCACAGTAATATCACGTTAACATTCTGCTCTCACCTTTGTTGCCAAGGATTTGAGTTTTCCCAGTAGTGACTGTTTATTGGAATATACAACTTCCTCTTCATTGTCTTCTCCTTCCATGATAGCACAACTGTCTGCAGCTGGGAGTTCACACTCTTTTGAGTTAGTCGTCATTACTAATTTGGAATATTTGTACTCCAGTCTAAGTAGTGGTAAACACATAGATAAAGAAAGTGGCTGTTTAATATAAATTCTCATTTTAGGTGGTCATACACCAGCTCATTAAATTTTCTTGTAGGATAGCTGCTCTACCAACAAATTTCCTTCACCTATGGCTATACACTATGTGTTCTCATTTTATCTAACATCCTTCATAAATCTTTTCCAGGACTTCAGAGAATCAGCACAGTACAGTTAATTCTATCACTTATTTTACACTAAATTGTCGAATTATGAAGAACTTTTGAAAAACAAAGAGAAACCATGAGGTGTGAAGGTATGTTCTTAATTTATAAATATTTGAAGCTAATACACTGTACAGTTTTTCAAAGTTTAGTTCATAAGGATGAGAATACCACAAAGGCAAGTGATTTGGTCTCTACTGCTTCTCTATATCACTCCTTCCTTTCTATTCACCACCCCAGATATTACAACTATCCCAAGATATTACAATATAGAATTTTAACAGGCTCAATGACATGTAAATAATTTTAAAAGAGTCAAATCACATAACAGATCAAAATACATTCAAGAGTTAGACTCAATATTCCACTCCAGATTTGGGAGTCCTGGAGTAAACAAAGGTGATATTTGCCTATACACTTAGTCTGTCTCTGCAAATATCTGCCCACAAGAAATTGAAAATGAAAAGATGAGGCAAGAAGACAGCATGTTGTCATGAAAAAAATAAATAGACACAGAGAGAAAATCTGCCTTCTGATCTCAGTGCTGCTCCCATCCTGACTAAAGGGGGTCTGCATTTTTCTTTGTTCTTTAATAAATGAGTCTAATCCAATCATCTTGAACATTCTATGATCTCTCTATTACCAGAATAACAATCATTTCCATTTGCTTTCCTAAAGGCCTTTCCTATAACTCCTTCACTAGGAGAAATTTCTTGTATCTCTGAGAGAAACTATTGGATATAACGGTTAAGTCTAAAATTTTCACAACAAAAGAGATCTTCAAGTTCTTATACAGTCACTCCAGTGAGGTTACTTACTTCTGATTCTTTTTCCAGAAGTAGCAAGTTAGAGCCACCAGCAAAACAGCTGTGAAAGCTCCCACACCTGCTCCCACTTTTAGCCAAAAGTCAACTGTTTCGCAGGTTGACAACTTTTTCTCAGGCAAAGAAATTCCTTTTATGCACCATTTAGGTTCATTCCATACGTATAAGGTTTCCTTTAAAAAACACACACACAAAGATGACATGAGAAATAAGATTCAGAATGAGAGGGTTTTTCTAACCCTTTATTCAGAATAGGCATAGAGGATGATTCAGTATTCATCCAATAGAAGCTCCAGAAAGAGAGGATGTAGGCATAGAAGACAGTGAATAAGGAAATAATGAATGAAAAAGCAATAAAAACGTGAATTGTCAGATCAGAAGACTTGCTACATGCTGAGGAGACTGAATAAAAGTTACTCCATCTGGAAACATCACTTGGGCTATTTTCCTCAAGTTTCTGATAATCTCTGATTTCTTAATCACGTTTTTAAATGAAAGCTTAGTAGTCTAATACACTTAACTGGAATGGGTCTCATCTACCCATCATGTAGGTCTATTTCCCTAACAAGCCTCTCCCCTGAGAGGAAGAGCAGACCCTGGACCAGGGACATGAAGGTGCACTGTGCCTGGCAGGCTGTGGTGACTGGCACGGGGTTAGGCACATAGCCTGCACCCCCTTCCCCATGCCAAAATAAGGACGCTGTGAAAGCTCCCACGTGAGGTACTTACTCTCAGCTTCCCAGAAGTAGACGAGTGAATTTTATTAGGACAATGTTTTTCAGACTGCAAGCTGCAACTAACTAGTGAATAATAAGACCAATATACTGGGTCTCAATCAGTAATTATTTTTTAAAAAATAAAGAGATCAAATAGATCAGAAGCAAAAATGTGAGTGCAGCATATGGTGCCTCATATATTTCAACATATACAGTGACCAATTTGCATGATGATTATATCCATTGATATTAAAACACGAGGCATTAAATTTTTTGCTCATTGTGTCTCATTAAATTTTCTGGTGCACTTTGGTTACTTTATCAACACCGCAACAGAAGGATAACACCATAATGTTTAATTTTATTGTACATACATACACACACACACATTTGTGCAGTTGGTCATGAAGTGATCGATGTGCAGAAGAACAGCATTTACTTTGAGGAAAAGTTTCAACCAAGTTTTGGATAAGAACTTTCAGCACGTTTTATAGAAAGGACATTAGTAATTGAAAATTTTTTTAGTGCATGGCAACTGTAACATTTTCATGAAACTTCGTGCAAATAAATTACTTTTAAAATGGGTCATGTTATTTTTCTAAGAATGATGAGGTGGGAAATGAAGAGGCATGTTGAAGTTCACGTGCTACATCTCTAAGTGTAAATAATGACAATGAAGACAAAAATGTTAGCTCTAGTCAGCAAACACTGACTTTATTTGAAGTGCATTCCACAAGACAAAAAGACTGAGCAAGAGTTTATATTATTTTCTCAAATGTGCAACACCCAAGGAAAATGGGATGCTCTAAGATCTGACAGCCTTATAAACAAACTGTCAAAACTTCAAAGTTAAAAAAAATACTTGTAAACTCAGAATGTTTAACTTTTCATTAAGTTCCTCAAACTGCTAAAGAAAAAAACATCAAGCTTTGGAAAAAATTTTTAGTCACTCTATAACTATGAATTAGAAAGCCTTATCCCTTCATTCAATCACGTGTTACTCGCAAACAAGAAAATAGCTGACACTGCAGCTGCAAAATTTATTCTTCCAGCATGTAAGGATATTTTGTGAACAAGGTGAGATAAATTTGAGGATAAATTTAAAAATATTTCTCTTAGTGATAACATAGTATCTCTTGAAATCTTTACTACCGTATGACATTTAGAAGTAATGCTTACTATATATTTAGAATCTGATATCGATTTTTGAGGTCCACTCTGATAAGAGCACTTTATCACAAGCTGTGCAGCTCTTTTAGTTTGTATCAGCTATATATGGAGGACTTGTAGTGTGTAAATTTAAACTTCACAGGAATCTGGATTAGATATATTTACAGAATTGGAGACGTGCAATCTCAGTCAATATAAAGTGAAAAATTGTAAAGGATGGGGGAAGAAATCGGACAGAAAATCAGTGAAGTGATTAAAAATTTAAAGACACCCAGAGCAATATTTTGCCATTACTGCTTTTTCTCCATCATGAAGCTTTTGGCAGCCAAAGAAATCCATCCTTCGTCATGGACATAATGGAAAACACAGTGAAAGTTGTCAGTTGTATTATATGAAGCTCACTGAAGAGCAGACTTTTTGAAATATTTTATTCAGAGGTTGCAGGTAAACATACCCACTGACTGCCTCACACCAATTTGTTTGTTGTTGCAAGGTGTATGAGCTTAGGAAAGGCATTTACATTTTTTAATTGAAGTTTGATCTCATTTGGGAAATATTTTCAAAACTGACACCCAAGTATGACAGAAGGGCATATTTAACTGATTTTGGTGTTTCTCAAATTAAATTTGGAAATAAAGGGGGAAATTATATATTTCAACATGTCAAACACATCAAGGGGTTGAGAAAGATATTATTCTTGAGGCAAAAACAAATATTTAAAAACAATCACCTCACAACTCTCTGTTCCTAACATTCTTATAACATGTTGAACAGAACTTTTTCAGTGAAGACAGTTTGAATGAGATAAAATTAGAGACACTGTTGCAACCTCACTGTCTTCAACTTCTAGTCATTACCTTTCAGAAGAGAAATATTAAATATTAAAGAACATTTGGGTAAAAGGTCATTTAGCTTTTCAAAACCCTTGAATTAAACTTAGCGGCCAAAGAAGGGAATGCATCTTAGTTTTTCATTTACTCTAATAAAATGATTATAAAATAATAAGTTTATCATAATTTTAGAAAAAAGATAAAGAAAAATTTCCATTGTGAAGCATAAAAATTGTATCATTATTATGAGGATTAAAAAGAAACCATTTTTTATGAACCTGAAATTTTCATCCTTGACCCACTTAAAAATGTTAAAAAGAAACTGGTTCCACAGCACCCTCGATGTGGGAGCAGCACCGCCTCTGCGTGCTCTAAACTTGAATGAGCTGTCCACAGGTAAGCACACTTGACGAACTCGATACAACATTTCCTAATTTTTGTTTTAGCATTGCCTATTGGGGACTTTACTATTTTGTATTAAATTATTAATAACAAGATATTGTATATTAATTCTATGCTTATGCTTTATCATAAAATATTAAATGTCTTGTTCCATGAAACAATTTTACTTTTAGGCATATCTCTGTGTGCCTGAGTTTGTGTGTGTGTCCTAGGTTTGATGTACAACATATTTCTTATTACAGTTTCACTGCCATTAAATTTCAAAAAATACCAAAAAACTCTATTTTTTTTTTCCTAGAGGTGAATACTACTGCTTCCAAATACACTGAATGCGTGAGACTCGGTGGGGGAATTCTGATTCTTCTCACATTCTTGCCCTCCAACTTGCCAACTAGATGCCCTTCAAGACTTTCCTGGGCAGAACAGCTCCCTCTCTCTGATGCTCTTACTCTATGAGCACTCCAGCTTCTTCCCCACTCCATGCTGACCTGAAGATCAGTCCTATCCCGTCTACCTTCCAGCTCTCAGAAATCCACTGGAAGCTCTGATTCTCTGATGCTCACTCTCCCATAGGGTTTCCATCACTGGTATTAGTTTATTCTCATCTGTGCCTCTTCACTATCATTTCAACGGAATCTGTGGAGGATGAGGTGGTAAGTAGTCTTGAAGGAGGAAAAGTTTGTGTTTTTCACATGATGCCACTTTACGTTGGTGCAGTGAAGTAGGTGCTCTCAAATACTATTAGAAGTGCAAACTGACACAAGCAAAGCAATTTAATAATGTGTATCAAGAACCTTGAAAATGTCCATCTCCTAGGATCCAATTAATCCCCTTCTAGTAATAAACTCTAAGGAAATATTCAAATTTCCAGTAAGGATGTTCATTTCAGAGTTATTTACAAAAAGAGTGTTTTCAATTTTTTCTCAAATGTTCAAGGATGAGGAATTATTAAATCCCAAATTATATAAATAGGATATTTGTCATAACTAAAAATTATGTTTTCAGAAAAATATTTAATGACAAAGGAAATATATTAAGAGTAAAAAGGAAACAAAAAATATATACAATAGAATTCCAACTTTATTTTTTTAAAAATAAGCAAACAAATGATTGCAGAGAAAATATAGAGTAGGACCTTGATTACATACGTATGTATATGCTTTACTCTTTAGCCATGCCATTGTGCTGAGTCAGTTATACCATATCCATCTTTTACACTTACAATTGCACACGTCAGATGTTGGCTTAATAATATCATTTCTTCATAATCCATGTAAATATTCACAGCCTACAACTCCCTTGCCATAATTCATTTACCCCAATCCCAGTGCACATCTTCAGCTACGCCAGCAGATGGGAGTTTAGCTACCAAATTTGATTGAAATCCATATTAAGGTCACATTAAGTTAACTATAAGCTTTAGCCATGGTTCTGAACCTGAGTTTCTATGATGTAAGTGATGCCAGACTAACCAATATATCTTCAATGACAGTTCTGCTTAGATAGGTTTTCACCTTACCTGAAATCCTCTCTTACAGGCTCCCTCAATCTCATGGAAGTCATGCTCTGTGCACAGAGGGCAAGCTTCGGCACTCTCCCACAGGAAATAGAACGCACATCCATCACACGTACCTGCTGGGCACTTGCTGAAATCAAAAATGAAAACAACAACAAAAATGGCAGCTTTTGTAACAGAATCAATCCAGTCCAATCAACAGTTGAGTGACTACTGCATACTAGGAGGTAATGTGTGGATGCTGACGAACACATGAAAAAAAATCTACAGGAGACAAAACCACAATGAGATAACACTTTGCATCTACTAGGGTGGCTAGAATCAAAAAGATAATAAGAGTTGCGAGGATGTGGAAAAATTGGAATCCTCACACTCTGCTGATGGGATTGTAAAATGGCACTGCTGCTTTGGAAGAATCTGGCAGCTCCTCAGACAATTAAACATAGAACTACCGAATAATCCAGCAATTACACTCCTAGGTAAATACCCAAAAGAAATGAAAACATATGTCTACATTAAAACTTTTACATGAATGTTCATAGCAGTATTACTCATTACAGTCAAATGGAGGAAACAACCCAAATGTCCATCAACAAACAAATGAATGAATGAAACACTAACAAAATGTAGTATATAAATGAAAAACAAATATAGTATATCCCTACAATGGAACATTACTCAGCCATAAAGGGGAATGCAGTACTGATACATGCCCCAATTTGGATGAACCTTGAAAACAGAATGCTAAATCAAAGAAGTCATTCAAAACCTCCTCACAGTACATGATGCTATTCATATGAAAGTCCAGAACAGGGAAATTTATAGAAACAGAACATAGATTAGCGGTTGCTGAGGGCTGAAAATGGGGCTAGTGTATAAGGAGGTGATAGCAAAAGGGTACGCAGTTTCTTTTTGAGGTGACGAAAAAGTTCTAAAATTGACTATCATGGTAATGGTTGCACATACCTGTGAATACACACTTAAAATCAAAAACAAAAGGAGACCAGTCTTGGAAATTCCCTGAGCAGACAAAACCAGTTTAGTCATATAAGCAAAGCTTAATTTAGTTTATTTTGCAAGACTAACTCTTAACCTAGGTCATTTCTTGCTTACACCTCTGGAAATCATAAGCAAAATTTAAACTGTTTGCCAAAACTGATATGAGGTAACCTGTAACCAATTCCCTATAATTTAAGAAACTTCTAATAGTATGACCAATCACTGTGAGGAATAAACAGTCACTGCCCTCCTACTATTTAAGCTGCTTTACAAAAAATATGTCTTTGAGCCTCATTCCATGCTTTGATTTGAGTGCTTCTGGTTTACGAACTGGCTTTTTGGTATATGTACAATAAACGTGTACTAATTACTACTTCACTGATTCATTGGTTTTACTTCTGCTATTTCTGAACTTTTGATAATACTAATAACCATTGAATTGTATACCTTAAATCAGTGAATTGCACGGTATGTGAATTATATCTCTATAAAAGCTATTTTTTAAAAATTTAAGGGAGAGACGCAGACAATGACAAACAAAGCTCTGGGAAGGCTTCTGGGTGGAAGTGACGTCTAAGACAAGTCTAGAATATTCAGTAGGCATTAGCCAGAATAGAGGGGAGGAAAGCAGGGAATGCCTGCCAAGAGGATGAAATGGCAAATGAATTGGAAGGAAATCACAACAGGTCACTTGCAGGGGCATCCAGAGGCCGTGAGTGAGCAGGAGGCACACAGCAGGAACTAGGTGGGGAAGGGAGGGGCGATTTCTATTTGGGGTAATGTGAGTAGTGAGGTGCTGCAGGGAATAGAATGACGTACAGGACGATGGTCTAGAGGCTGGGGGAAAGACGTGAAAACAAAATTGCCTAAAGTGAAAAAACAAACAAACGTCAGGTCAACACACAGCCCAGTGATGCCAACAGCTTTGCATTCCTGGGTTTCCTTGCCCTGAGGATGACTTCCGTTGTGAGGTAGTTATCTTCACCATTCGGAGATGATGGATGCAGCTTACACACAGGTGCAGGATCGCACTGAACCAACCACCAGGCAGGGCCTGAACAGAGACTTTTTGAAACCCTGCCTTCTGGTGGCTGGGCTTATTGTATCAACTTACCTCTTTCGTTTTAGGGACACATAACCACAGCAGAGCTCAAAAATTAACCAGCTGTTACTGCACACAGAATCCGTACTGACTGGAGTAAGAAGCTATTTGGAAAGGATCTAATGAGAATGGCTGTTTTTGTTCATGAATTCATTAAAACCAGGGGAATATTGTTCTCTTAATTTGTCTACTACACTTCCCTTAAGTCAAGCTGTGTAGATATAGGGCATTGCCTTAAAAATCTCCTTCAGTCCTTAGCTGGTTCTGAGTACATTTATAGCAAAAAGATAGACACACAATAACAGGGAGAATTCGAAAAACACCCCTTTTTAAGTTTTCGCTTCAAATGCCTTTCTGATTATACACAGTCCACAACTATAATTTTCAATCTACCAGCAAAGTAAAGTTTCATACTCTTAGTTAGCTAAATATATCCTAAGATACCCTAGAAGATGAACACTAAAATAAATCTATGTGCCTAAAATTGTGACTGCCTTCTTACATGCCTATCCTTTCCGAGTGTCTGCATTCTGTAGACTACATAGACATGGGAGGGATGGAAATAAAAGCAAATTGCTTTACAATAGGCTTCAGAACAGAGGCCTAGCACTGTCAGAGCCAAGAACAGGGTGAAAGGCGACTCTCTGGAAAAATAGCTTCACTCTTAGCTGCCTTAATTTCTCGGTCTGTAAAAAGGGAATATGGGTAAATGCAGACTGAGATGCCAAGAGAGATTTTTTTTAAGCATAATAGATATAACAGATATCTAATATAATAGATATAATAATAGATGAAAATCATGCCACTTAAAAAATCATCCTTACTTTCTACTTTTCAGATCAGTAAAAGCAACTCAAAATTGCTCTTTTGAAAAAAATTGGGTTACCTGTTAGAAAAACTCTTCAAAAACAGAAGTATTATTTGCATAACAATGATTTGCAACTTTAAAAGTAATTATACTTTTCTGATCATTTAGCAGAAATTACCAAAATCCTTTCCTGCTGACATCTCTTCTGCTCAAATTATTTTCTATTTTATCTTTCCAACACAGAGACGTTTGAAAGGAGAGGGGGACTGTTTATCTTGGGAAAATAAAAAGAAAGTCTGCTAAAGTTTGAGAAGAAAGAACTCAACAGATGAAAAAGAAAAGAAAATTAATCAAAGTTGCAAAAAGCCCTGGAGAGAAGACGTGGGTCACCATTCTAACTGGACTTCCAAATAATTGTTTCAGATTGTGCGTTTTTTTCCACAAGTGACTCAACCCCCCTCCCCATTGTTTCATTTTTGTAATTTGTCAGAAGTAGAATTTCTACTATACTGTCTTCACAGAGTGGGTATCGAGGGTAGAACGAGAGAACAATTTAGGAGCGTTTAAAGCATTGTAAACGACCATGAACAATGCACATCACCTTCTAGAATCGGCAGAACTACAGAAACGGAAAAAAAATCAAGACATTGATATAATTTATAAAGCTGCCATTAGGTGTCAAAACACTACAACGATTCAGTGTCTTTCCTTGGTAGAATTTGCTTTTTAAAAGATACTCTTAGGTTAAAAGTAATTTAGTTTAGAATCAATTCTTTAATTTTTTTAACTCAATGATTCATTTAAAATGTGGAACATTCAAATTTGATTCTTTGTTATAAACATACATTGTACAGTTTGAATCAGGCCTTTTCCTATGAAATGACAGGGATGTATAAAGCAGTAACAATTTCAATAGTGCATATATATAAAACAAAAATAGAAAAAAGACGCAAGCAGAAAAAAACAAAAAATACTTTCTCCTGCTAAGAGAAGAACAAAAAAGCAAACAGCAAGATAAACACTTTATTGCCAAATATATGAAATACTTTTTCCTTTGATGACCTGTGTCACTGTCATCTCCTCTCCTTCCTCACAGCTTTCTAAAGGTGTCACTAACTGTGTTTCTTTCACAACTTTGGGTTTACTCGGTCACCAGGGAAACCAGTGAGTAAACGTTTGCAGAGACAGTTCACGGTCATGGACAGCTGGGACATGTGAGGCTGGAGTTCTATAAGATGACCAGACGTGCTGTGAATCGAGGTAGTGAAACCACCATCAATTCAAAGGACAACCAGGTGGACCTTGATTTGGTTTTACTAGTAAATGAGGTTCAGACTTTCATTTTCTTATTTTGCTACTGGGAGTGCCTTACAAATCAGCATAGTGCTGGCAATGTGTAAGAATTCAGATGAATCTTTTTTAAGGAAGTTAGGTCTTAGATTCTAAAATGGGACACATTTCCTGAGAGGATAAGTGGACTGAGGTATGATGTATTAGTGTCTTCTTTTAGATGAATCATCTTAACTAAAGCAGGATCTACTTGGCTCATGTTATGAATGCATGGAAAAAAATCTTGTTTTCTTATGAATTATGATGACCTAATACACAACCTAATATTAATTGTTTGGATAGTTAATAAATCAATGTAAATTTGTAAATAAATCGTTTTGCCTAAACTTCACTTAAATCCAAAGTTCAAACAAATTCCTCTAAACTGTCAGTACATTTCTGACCCTTCAGGAGTTTGTCTCAGGAGATTTGGGGGGAAGTCCTGCGTGCCTAGAACATTTATCATTTGGTGTCAGGGTACTATTGCTGCTGACTTCTTTCATGTGGGGCTTTTGTGAGTCTCTCGGGATTCCCCAGTCTCAGGGCATTCAGACTGGCATCTTCCGGCATGGGCAATGCTCTCTGACTTGCTGCTGGTGACTCCCCTTGGCTTTAGCATCACCTTTCTCTGCTGAGGATGCCTTACCCTTGGTAGAAGGCCTTCTTGTGTGGGGTCCATAAAACGCCATTGCATCTTGCTCCACTTTTGTCTGCCCTGAGGCTGACGAATACAAATCGCTTACAACTGAGTTTGAACATAAAATTTTTTGACCCACAGCTCTTAGGTCCAGAGATATAAAGTTCTACCAGTCTCCTGAAAACATTCTCCCTTTCTCAAGCTACCCTGGGTTAATTACCAATAGCCAGCATCTGATCAAGACCTGGACAAACTACATTAACTGACACTCCCTAGTCCCTTATATCTATAGATTCTGTATCTTCTTCAGCGAAATAAAATTCTGTCAAAGTTATAAAACTATCATTCCTATTTCAAAATTTATCCTAAAACCTTATGACTGTTTTGCAATATTTTTATATCTGAAGATTACTCATTAATGTTCAAATTGTATAATCTTAACAATTCTGTATTAGTTTTTCCATTCCTTGATCATAATGGCTCTCAGTTGTTTTCACTCACGCTCATTTTACATGCCTCCTTACTTCTTAATGTTCTAAGAACATATCTGGTTTTAATCTTTTGTGTTCTAGTGCCTTTTTAATTTAACTCGTAAGATTTAGATGTCTACTATCTTCCCATAACTAGTGCAGAGGAAAAAGAAAACAAGGGACCCATTTAACCAATCATTATTCTCTGGCTCTTAACTTAAAATGGATAGACTTTTTAGTTTGAACAGTTCTTCCCCTACACTACAAAGAAAGCACTACACTAGCACCCAAGAGAACTGATGACTTTGATAGAGACACTCCAAATCAGGGCCCGGAACAAACTCCAGCATATTCGCCTATCAAGGCAGAAGCATGAAGCATCCCTTCTGTGGATACAGCATCTCAGAGCCCAGGTTTATAAGGAAGAGCAATTCGGATTTTGAAGGAGGTTTTGGCAAAACAGTTTTAGACTGATCTATAAACTATCCAAGCAATTAAATATAGTCATAAATTGAGAGAGAGAGAGAAAAGAGAGAATGATTGATGATTTTCCTCTAACTCATAACATTAATAAAGAAGACTCTGTTTGAGGAGTAATGACTCACTTTTAAGAAGGCACTAATAACTTCCAGATCAGTTGCATTACTCCTTGGATAAACAAGATTATTTGCCTCTTTGCTTAGTGTGCATCTTTGCAAATCTTTGCCTATGAGGAATTGGAGGGAAAAAGATGGCAAGATGAAGGGCCAGCCCAGTGGCACAGTAGTTAAGGTCACAGGCTCCACTTTGGTGGCCCAGGTCTGGCGGGTTTGGATACTGGGTACAGACCTACATACTGCTTGTCAAGCCATGCTGTGGTGGCATTCCACATACAAAAGTAGAGGACAATTGGCACAGACGTTAGCTCAGGGACAATCTTCCTCACACATACACAAAAAAAAGGCAAGATGAAAACATGACGGCAAGAACAGAATAGACACAGGAAATCATTCCATCTTGACTGTGCTACTCCATTGCTATGCAGCTGGGTCCTCAGCGCTTCTTACTGTGTAAAGGAAATGGGTCTGCCTCAGGGATCTCTAATGTGCTATGCCATCTCCATTATCAGAGTAAAAGTGGTTCCCCCTGCCCATTTTCTAATGCAGCTTTTTTATAACATTTTCACTAACAGAAATTTCTCATGTTTTTGTAAGAGCACATTGGTTTTTCTTGGGGGGTTTTTTTTGGTGAGGAAGATTGTCCCTGAGCTAACATCTGTGCCAATCTTCCTCTATTTTTTGTATGTAGGACACCACCACAGCATGGCTTAATGAGCAGTGCATAGGTCTGTGCCCAGGATCTGAACCTGCAAACTCTGGGCCACCGAAGCAAAGTGTGTGAACTTAACCGCTATGCCACGGGGCCGACCCCCTGAAAGAGCTCTCTGGACATGATGGTTAGGTCTAAATTTTTCCAAATGAAAGCAGAACCTTCAATTCCTCTAACTACCTAGGATCGTGATTAGAGGTTTGGGAAGCCTTTCAGGCAGAGGCTGGGAGGGGATCTATCTAGGGTATTAGTGATCTATTGTGGTAGCAATTTATCCTCTGGCCAAGGTGCAAACTTCACCAGATAATCTCAAAAGTCCACTCCAGCTCTCAGATTTCATCTGCCACAGACATCATGCTGTTAAGTTTTTATCTAAAATGTCTCACACCCTCCAGACATTTTATGGAATTAGAAACCAACTGTGTTTGCCAGACAAAACAGACAGGTGGAGTTTCCAATTGCAGACTAGTAGGCAGCCCGGATGCTTTGCTGCTCCCTCTAAATTTCATGAGATACACAGAAAACACATATTTTCCCTTTTCTCCTGTCCCATTCACTTTCTGTTAAGATAGTCTCATTTTCCCAGGGCCAGGGGTCTTGTGACTTTTTCCCAGGTCACCAAGATACAGAGTCCCAAACAACATTACTACTACTGAAGTCACCTTTGCCTGGTTGCCCAAGATTCTCAGCCAAGAGAGGAGAATTCCTGGAAGTAGCATCTTTTCTGAACTCCCAAAGGCTCTCTTGTGAGACCTCTTGGTCAGCATATGAGACTTCTCAAGGCAAGTGCATGGTTAGCACCTTCCTCTCTCTCCCAGAGAATTAAAGCTCCAAAAAAAATGCAAAGTAAGTCCTCTTCAAAAGTAGCCCAAGAAACCTGGCTCTGTTAACATTTCTATACTGTTAGTAGGAAATCTTTATTCAGTCCTATAGCTAAAAAAACTCTAATTATTTCAGGCCCAGCTGCTGTTTTTCATGTTGTGATCCTAGAGCTCCCCCTTGTGGCCTTATTGGAAATTGAGTCAAGAAAGAACAAGGCCTGCACATTTAGGCTGTGAGGTTCCAGCAATTCCCTAATGCAGTGGTCCTCAAACTTCAGTGTGCATCATAATTATAAATAAAATTGTATCTGAATATGGGTGAAGGATTCCACCTTGTAGACCATGCCATTTTAAATTAGCTTTTCAGAAAACTAAAACGCAGAACAATGTTGGAGAATCTGTCTCAGAAAAAAATAAGCCAAATCTCCAAAATGTTGGTTAAGACTAATGGTTCTCAAATTTTAATATGCTCCAGAATTGTCTTTGTGTTTTTAATAAAATTCCTGTGCTCAACACTCAGAGATTCTTTCGGTTTTAGGGAAGGCTCAGAAATCTATTTTAAAGTTGACACTCCAAGGTGTTCTGCCGCCGATGATCTTGAGAAACCCTGGCAAGGACAGTTAAGTTCCCTAAACAGAAAAAAAGTGCTAGAGGTCAAAGGAGAAACTTAACTTATCCTCTCCTCCAAGGAAAAACTCAGTTTCTAGATGTCATCATTTAACATCATGAGACTATTTTTTTTGTTACATTAAAACATCAGAACCCAACTTGGGAGAGTTAGAGTGATACGTTTTCTAAAGGACAGACCTAATGTTTAGTAACATTATCTGTTTGAGTCAGAAACCTGGCAGCAGCTTTGGAAGCCATCAAGGTAGGCTCCTAGAGGCTAGACCCTGAGAGGTTATCTGCAAGGTCCAAAAAATGACCTCTGCTATGCTACAGTAAACAGAAGAAGCATCTGAACTCAAGGCTCTTTTATGGGATATGGGAGAATGATGAAGAAATCTTTGAACACACCTTCTGTAAAGAAAGTGTGGTTTGCTGCCTTGACTCCAGCTTCAATGCTGGCATAGGGATCCTTCACCATGCTACGCCTGTGAGCATCAGACTCCCTCTGAGTCTTTCACTGATATCTATTACCTTTTATTATGTACTCCTCTCATCACATTATTCTCTCACCTTGAAAAGGTGAAAAGAAAAATTAATTCGTAGATATATGAAAACCAGAGAAACATAGTTGGTAGAGGTTAATAGTAGTGTGCCTTTATGCCCCTAATAAGCCCACAATACCATGTTACCACTGTAACTATTTTTAAGAAGCCCAAGAAGGTGAAGCATTGCTTAGACCACTGATTCCCAATCCTGATATCACATAAGCAGGGTAGTTTAAAATCTCTCAAGGGTATTGTGAAACTCATTTTCTTTTTAAAAATATATACTTTTGCTACCTTGATGGAAAAAAATCTGCAAACCATACTGTGATTTAAAAGTACCTTAACCCTAAAAAGCCTGGAAATAAATTATCTATATACAAAACAATGAATAACTGTGAAAAATAAAAATCATCAGACATTTAAGTGTCACTCATGCCATGAAAGCAGGCTTTATTTAAGTTGATAGTTCTCTTAGTCTATGAAATCACTTACTTTCTCCTAGTGTTCCCACCCAATGTGGCCTGTATTAATCAGATCTGGCCTGTGGAGAGCTGTTGCCTCAATGCCAATAAATTAGATGAATTGTATTATGTATATTCTACAGGTCAGACTCTACCTTAGTGAGCCTGCCACCATTAATCAGAAAACTGAAGAGCTGGAAATGGATTGTACAAATTATCTACCCTGGCCCACATCCACTTACAGAAAAAGAAACTGTAACTCAGAGGTTATATCACTTAATCTAGATCACCAAGATAGTTAATTATTAAAGAACTACAATCTAGGAAAGTTCCTAATCCAGCTCTCAAGGAACTTAAGCCTAAACAGTAAGAATAAATACAAGGATACAAACAGTATAATTAAGTATTACTTAAGTAATTTTCAAGAGAATTAGACACTCAGGCAAACAGGACGAGAATAGGTCATTGAGGAGCTTGGGAAGTACTAGGATTGGGCATGGACCTATTCCTCTTGAAAGGCACTCAGCACAACCCTACAACAAAACCGACATATTCTTTTCTCTTTCTGCTTTACATCCATAGAGAATATGTTTTAAAACAGTCAGATTCTGGAGAGTTTTGCTTCCTCATAATAAATACAAATGTGGAATAATCATCTAGAGATAAGAATACCTGGGGACTGAAAGCACTCCTGCTCCTGGTTTAGCAGGATTACATCTGATTTTCACAGCGGTTGATCGGCCATTAACACAGGAGGTTGTAGTTGTAGAAGACCTGTTGTAAGGCAAATGTCGTTTTACAAAACAGCCATGACACAGATGACAAAGACAAAACGTCCTGTGTATGATTACTTCCACACTCTACGAGCAAATGAAAAATAAAAATGTATCAGAGTTTACTAATTTAGAATTTTAATACAAACTGAGCTCATTTACTTTCACTGTCTGTGAAAAGTTGATTGTTTTCCCAGGTAAAATGATAAGCTATCACCGAGGTATTCAATAAAGCTGTTGTAATTATAATCAAAATTATGATTAAAAAAAGTTTTAAGGAATAGAGGTCATATCTACTTAGAATGATGTTTTGATGTGTGAATTACAAAAAGAAATCACTGCTTAGACAATGAAGTAGAGTCTCTTTACTGCCTAATTTAAAAGATTATATGAGATAAATTACATAATGCTTTCAAAATAGTCCATGTTTCCCACTTTTTACTAAGTCTTTCATTTAGGAACCACTTACTGATTATCTATTAAGTGTAAGCCACTACGATAGGCACCCTGAAGTGACATTCTTTTGATTAAAAAAATAGTCAAGGAGGGGCTGGCCCCGTGGCCGAGTGGTTAAGTTCGCACACTCCGCTGCAAGCGGCCCAGTGTTTCGTTGGTTTGAATCCTGGGCACGGACATGGCACTGCTCATCAAACCACGCTGAGGCAGCGTCCCACATGCCACAACTAGAAGGACCCACAACCAAGAATATACAACTATGTACTGGGGGGCTTTGGGGAGAAAAAGGAAAAAATAAAATCTTTAAAAAAAAAAATAGTCAAGGAAAGCAGTATCTTCACTTACTTATAAAAGAAATGCACATCTGGTATTTGGCTAGGTGGAACTGGGAACATATCTTCTTTTATATTAATATTCTGCAATGTAGTTTCAACTGTCACTCCTAGATGACAATAAAAAAGAAACTATTAAGCAATATGGGAAAATTAGGTTTATTTAGTCTCTGTATATCGGAATAGAAAATAACTTTACTTTGATGCTGTCATTTTCCCAGAAATATTTTATTAAATTAATGCATTCATGGTAACAGTAAGAACCTTTCCAAAGTCTCCAGAATAAAAAGAAAGATTCTATTTGCTAGCTTTGTAATTTTAAGTCACTTTCACTTCCCTGATTCTTATGTTCTGAATCTGCAAAACCTTTCCAAAGTCTCCAGAATAAAAAGAAAGATTCTATTTGCTAGCTTTGTAATTTTAAGTCACTTTTACTTCCCTGATTCTTATGTTCTGAATCTGCAAAATGCACGCAATAATTTAGGTGATCTTCTAAAGCCCATCCAAGTTTTAACATTTCAACAATCTACTATTAAAATTCTCATTCTTCTGACGAGTTTTGTCAAATGAGCTGGGCTATTTTGCTAATACAGATTTTCATTCACATTCAATATAGCCATACTTGACAAAACAAAAATTTTTGTGCCCAAATAATTTCCTGAAAATAACTCCAAAATTTGTTTAATCTAGAAGTAAGTAATCTAAAAGTAAGGCATTTTTCCCATCTCTTGTAGGCAAAATGATGACAGAGCCAAAATGCAAGCAATAGCAGTAATCTTGGCTTCTGACATCTAGCTCTGATGCTGAGCACAAGCTCAGTAACTGACCTTGGTGCTGAAAATTAAAGCTAAGTTCCTCTAGAGTCTATAGCAATGGTTCTCAAATCTGGCTGCACAATAGAATCACCTAAGAAGCTTGTTAAATTGTTAGACAGTTATATGCCTTGTTAGATTCCTAATCCCCATCCTAGAGGCTGTAATGAACTTTATCCCTAAGAATCACTAAACATGGAACTGAGTTCTTCTTAAAACTTCCCTATACCTTCCAGATCACAGAGACAGAAAGGGCAGGTGGGGAATAAAATTTAGCACATTCACCTTTGCTACTTGTCACCAGCTTACTTCTGGTATGAGAAAAGATCATGAAAACTGGTGGCAGATATTATGATTTAGGTTTATATTATGTTTGTTTACTGTTATTCTTTTGTTTATAGTTTTGGTTTTTAAAATTATTCTGTCTCTTAAACTCCTAGAAAATCTGACGAAAGGCACAGACTTTCAGCAAAGTTCTTATCACGTATGAGTTAATACACAAATTCAGAAGATTCTTGTCCTGAGATTGATCAATAGACATCACTTGTAGGGGCTTTTTAACCGTGTTACAAAGTGATGATTTAGAATTACCTGTGAGCCTTAATCATCTATGGTAAACACCAATGCAATGGCAAGTTACCAGTACCATAATTTTAGAATAAATATATGTATGCATATAGGAACCAACTGAAGCTTACCTAAAAATGTATCTGCCAGAATGATGGACTGTGATGATAAGGCTGCTCGGAAACCTTTACTTTCAGAAGGAATAATAGTTGACTGGCATACATATGCTCCCACCAAGCCTGTGTAATCATCTGACCCTGCCACCACTTCCTTTACTGTGAAGTCAGTTATATTGTTGGCACAGAGAGCCATCTTCTTCCCCTAGGAAAACAAAGTCATAAAGAGGTTTTATTGAAGAATCAGTTGCTAAACTGCATCTCAGATAGCTAACAACTCTAGGAGAGCAGTGGCTCTCTCCTCGCCACAGAGATTCTGATTTAATTGATCTGGTGTGGGGCTCAGGCACAAGTATTCTTTAAAAGCTCTGAGGCAATACCAATATTCAACTAGGGTTGAGAGTCACTAAAGTTATAATGAATATAGTAATTCAAAGCTGCACCACTCCTCCAACTATAAGCATCATGTGTGCTGGATGAAAGCCACCTAACTCAAGGAAATAAAAGTCATCTACAAAACCTTCCATTCAGAGGATAACACTGCATACACAAGGGCCAGAAAACTTCTGGTGAAGGTTTTAATGCCAAGAAAAAAGACTTGCTCTCCCTTCGCCTTTATAGGCCTATGTGGGGCAGAAAGGTAATGTGAAGGCTGAAGAAGAAAGCGTAAAAGCCATATTGCAGCAAAATCCTAGGACAACATCTAAATTCTCAATAGTTGGTCACTACAAGTGTCTTTAAACATCTACTGTTATATTTAATGATGCATATCTGCTTACCTGCACAGTAAGTTGACGGGAATACAGAGGTTTATTTTTTAATCATTTGTAAGACATAATTTATAAAAATTGGAAGATCATTTAACTATAGGATGTTTAAATATACTATAGTCCCACTGCAAAGGGACTACAGCTTGCTTAATAATTTCTGTGAAGAAATATATAAAGGAAAATAGGAACACCATTTTATTGGTCCTAAATGTAGGATGTGCACAGATGGACATAAAGAAAAGAATACAGATTTCTCTTTCTTAATGCAGCTAGCAATCCTAACCTATAAAATTTTCTCCCTCCACCAAGCCTTCTCACCGCAATACAGGTGTAATATATTTTTACTAAGCTTAAATTAAATCGTTGAAGCCAGAAAAGATAGAAACAATGAAAAAGATCAGAGAGCAACTGAGGAAAGAAAAAGGAAAAAAGACAATAAAAGGAAATAAACAAGAATATAAAGGAAAGAAAGAGGGAGAAGACAGAAGAGAAGAGAATATTGAAGAATAGACAGTGGTAACACAGAAATGAGATTGAGAAGGAGTGTGATATATAATGGAATTACTCTTATTCACTGCCTTACACAGGATTTAACATAACAGATATTTAATATATATTTATTTATTGAGTGAACCGAGTGAGTAACCAATAGAGTGTCAAATCACCTCTGTAAAATCAGGACAAGACAAATGTCATATCATGTAAAATCTATAGATCTTTTTGTTTGAAAACTTCTGTGGTCATCAGATCTCTTTTGATTTCCTTTGCAAAAAGTTTGGCACAACATCTCATATGGTACACCATTAGAGATACTATGGAGTTAACACGGAAAGAGACATGGAAGAAATGCCTTAGTATATTTTTGCTTTGTTAATGGTATGTCTGTATACATACTTCCCAACCTCATATGCCCACAAAAACATTGAACATATAGTTCTGTAACTCTCTTCATTACCAGTATTACTTAAGGTTCTGCTTCTTCCCATACGAAATAGAATCCTCTTATTATTTATTAGCAGAGCCTACCTGATGAACTGACATTTGTCCCCTGCTTACCTCCTTTTTATTTTTGGACAAACTTCCTCTTGGAAGTCATTTTCTTTTTAAAACACAAAATCAACAACATAAATAAGAGTAAAAACTTTATCAAACCATAACTGCCTGCCTAAAAAATAGGTAGGATTGACAAATCTGATCCAGTTTTACAAAAATAAAAGATCCTCAAAGCACTTACACCATAACTCCAAGCTTTGGGGTTCAACTGATTGGATAAGTGCTTTGATGGACTGAGAACCAGACAAGGTTGCTCCCGGTGAAGAAAAATGCCAACATGCAAGGAGGCAACAGAGGACTGAAGCTTTCAAAGCTCAGCTTCTGACATTTGGTTGTTAGTTTCCATAGCGATTTTATTGGTCCATCAACACAGAAAATATCAACTCAATCAGAGTTGAAACATAGCTCCATCTCACCTTGACAGCCAGCACTCACCTCATGCCCACACAAACTGATATTGAAGAAATGGAAGTATTTTGTTCCTTTGGAGGTAAAGCTGGGACCATTCATTAACGACCCCACACTGCTGAGGTTGCTGAAGTCATAGTGCAAACTCTGATTTTCTTTTTCATGGTGGAAAAAGCAGTCACTATAGCAAACTGAGTGGTCCTTTGATTAAAAACGTAAAAAAAAAAAAAAAAATATATATATATATATATATATATATATATACACACACACACAGAGCAGGAAACAAAGTATTAGCAGCTATGAAAAATGTATTTCAAAAAAGTTCTAGGTTTAAAACCTATTTCAGTAATTTTGTCTTGGTTATAATATATTTTACCATATTAATACAGAGAATTTCTAAATGCTAACCAGATTTTCCTGGGCAAAATTCAGAAGATTTAGAATTTTTTTAAAGTAAGAGTAAAGTTATTCTAAGGTTAGTTTCTTGTAGAAAGGTATTTTAACAAATAGCTAAAAGTCCCTGTTATGCCACTTTAAACAGACAACAAAATAATTTTCTCCTTCACCCATAACATAGCATCAACTTTTGCCCTTAAAATTTTTTAAGATATGCCTGCTGCTCTCCATATACTCCTACAGCCAACCTACAGAGGGGGTTTACCTTAACAGAATATGCAAGAAATCAATTTTAGTACTTTTGGAAAGCATCTTATTTAGGTGTTTTTCTTAATATTTTACGTCCCCAGCAACTAGCACTTTCATGGCACATATTAAGTGCGCAATAAATACATGAAGAGAGAAAACAAGAAAAGAAATGAAATGAAATGAAATGAAAGAAATGAAAAAGTCATTTATAAATATAACTAGCAACTTTATAGCTCCTGCAGACACATTAAAGAGAACTTTTGAGTTTCTCTATTAAAATGTGCTTTCCTGGGGGTGACTAAAGTACAGACTCACTCACCTGAGTGCTTCTACTCCCAGGCCCACATGGAATACAAGCCTCCTTGCCATAGACCTGATGTATGGACAGGTAGGTGTCAGGTGGACACTCCTCACACTGGTTGGTTTCTTTCTCAATGTAGTGGCCTGGGGGGCAGGGGACACACGATGAGCCCGACTGTTCAGAACCGAGGGCACAGGCACGGCATGAGGACGCCACCCCATCAACTGCATTAGTGGCAGTGATAGAATAAATCTTCACCATGTCATTGATGAACCGTCTATTCTAAAAAGAAAGCAGAAAGTAATGACTTCTGCCTTGGGACTTAGTTGTACAACCAGATTGTTTCATATTGATATCACCAAAATAACTAAGCAGAGCATTCCAGGCTAACAGTTTATAACTGACAATGGATTAATATTATTCCTTTTTGGTTCTTTCTTCTCAAAAAATCTTAAATCTTAACACTAGAAGTTAGTTTCCACAGTAATTGAGTTCCAGGTGTTTTGCCACAATCACCATGAGATATGTCAGAATTGGTACAACTCAGGCATATTTATAAACTTTACATCTGGAAAAACAGGTATGGTTTAATAGAGGAGCAACTTTATCTATCATCATTGTTTACTGAGATATGAGCCTAAATGCAATGATACAATAGGCTGTTTGCAGCATGGAAAAGCCTTGGACTAGTGATCAGAAAGTCTTGGAGTTCTACTCTTAGAGCTCTTGTCCTCACCTATACACTGTGTAATATTGACGAAATCACACCACTCCTTTGGGCATTCCTCTCCCTCTTTAGTACTTTCCCTAACCAGTGTACTCTGATTTCTACTGAAAGGATGCAAAACAGAGAGCAAAAACCAGGGTCTTACTATACTTTTCCTTCTTATGACACTGAGTCAACTAAAGTCTAGTTTTCATCAAGCAGAAGGCATCACTGTATCAGTACAGAGCAGCATCACCCTGGACTACCTAATGCTTTTCGCCTAGGGAAGAGACAAAAGAGGTAGGATTCCACAGCATGTTCATGCCCCACATGATGGTAATCTCAACACTCGTAAAAAACAATTGGAATCAAGAAAAATCTGGGGAGTGGGCTCCCCAGTAAAAGCCTGAAGAGGAAAGAGAAAATGCTCTACATTTGCCACCAAAGCTTTAAAAGCAGCTTCTGAACAAGTGGTTTACCTTGTTTTCACCTTGGGAAGGTCACGTCTATGGAGATCCACAAAAATAACAGTCCTGCTACTATTGAAACATACAATGGAATTTACTTAAGGGAAGAATAAGGTCTAGTCTAGCAAGGAAAGTAAGAGAGAGTAAATAATTCTGTATGTTAACCCAATCATGTGCATGTGTACATACACAACATCCTGTCTGTAAAAGGAGACATTATTGTAATGAAATAATAAACCAACACCAGTTAATGGCTCCTGGATGAATGATCTGGACAAATGTCAGATCATTCAGACAAAGAGAAAGAAACTCACTAGCCTTCTCAAAGTCTCAGAAAGCTTTAAAAGTAAGTCTTTAAATACAGTAAATACAAAATTAGATTTTCTTTCTCTTAAGCTTTCAGCAACTACATTTGTTCAAAGTGTAGAACAATTCAGATACATTGTTTTATTCCATTTCATACCTTCTTGCTGTCAAAAAACAAACAAAAAGATACCATTTTTAGACTCATCCACTCCATAACCAAATGACTGATTCCACATCAATAAAAAGCTAAGTCTTTTCCTCCAGTGGATTTGAGTGATAACTTTGCATGAATCCCCACTGGGGATTCATTTTTATGTTTAACATCATTTTTACATTTTAAAAAAAAAAAAAAAGAAGGGGTTGGCCCCGTGGCCGAGTGGTTAAAAGTTCGCGCGCTCCGCTGCAGGCGGCCCAGTGTTTCGTTGGTTCGAATCCTGGGTGCGGACATGGCACTGCTCGTCAGACCACGCTGAGGCAGCGTCCCACATGCCACAAATAGAAGAACCCACAACGAAGAATACACAACTATGTACCGGGGGGCTTTGGGGAGAAAAAGGAAAAAATAAAATCTTTAAAAAAAAAAAAAAAAAGAAAAGTGCTTGGAACTTACATCTTGACCCTGATTAGTTCTCTGGAATGCCCACGTAAATGTAAATGTTGCATTCTTGAAGATGACATGGGTGTAAGCTTGTTTTTCTTTGGTGCCACCCCATGATTCCACCACGTTAGTACTTTTTCTATTAATATCCTAAAACATAGAAGAAATACATACCAAAAATCAGAAACTCAGTGTTAACATACATTACAAATACGTGTTTGTATTTACAGTAAACCCTATAGGATTTGTGAATATTTATGTATAGACCACGTAATCCTAAAGCTCTCAAAACTTCCCTTCAAGTCTACACAAGCACTCACTAGCTTAGTAATTACAATATATCAATCACATTGTCAATATAACCTGAAAGAGGTCTCAAATGTTTAAGGGAGTTTTTAGGGGGAGTAGAGTGTATGTGTTACTCTAGCTTAGCAAATATACTTAGAAGGGGAAACAATTTCTCAAACTTCTCACAGTAAATTTCTAGGATCCTCATAGAATAGCAAGGCTTTCTATTTGCATCTTTCCTTGAAAGATTCTGATAAGTAGCTCTTGCACAGGAATTCTAAGCTCCCCCTGAATTACACTTGCAACTTCCAGGCTTCCCCAAGTACAGATTAACAAGAATGTTATTTGTTCATGAAACATTCTTTTGCTTACACTTGAATTCCAAAAGGATTAACTTATGTATTTTATTTCTGCTATCTTTAGCTAAATTCACTATTTAGACTATTATACAAATGTCTGACATTCTAACCAATATGCTGTCCTTAACATGGTTAGATACCAAACATAATGTCAACCAAATAATACAATACACATATAAGTTATTTGAAATGAAAACCAAGGTTAAACCTGAATTTTCTAATTAGTCTTCCCTGCAGAAACCATATAGAGGACTGAGGAATTTGGATGGGTTTCTGTTAGTTATCCGGTTGATAACAAGTTAACAAGATGGTGGCAAGAGCTCAAGATATGTTTCTCCTATGACATAGGAGTCAAACATTATAAAGTGATCAAATATGCTATAAGATGTGTCTTAAGTTCATGCCACAGATAGGAATAACAGCATGTCCTTGTCATACATTACAGAATCCCCCATATTATCAAACAACCAAATCATCATATGTGTCACTTTCTAAAAGGAGCTCATAATATACAGTTAGTGCTTTGTTAAACGCCATCTTTCTGGATGTTTATTCCAATAATAAATGGACTTTATTGCATTACTGCAAGTAACACCACCTTACATTTGTAAAATACTACATGATTTTGAAGGTATTTTTATATGCTACTTAACTGATATCTCAAAAAAATCCTATGAGGAGACCAAATCACACACAGAGGAAATAAAACTAATAGATTCTGCTATAAGCTAAAAACTCTAAGAGTGATTTACCAAAACAAATATCTGTGATCCCTACCCTCAGGAGTGCTTGGTCAAGTGAGAAAGACAAAAACATAAATACATTCACATAATTAAAATAGAGTTTTTCTCAAGGGTTTTAGGAGCACCCTGGAGAGAGCGGTTAACTTTACTGAAAGAAATAAGAAAAAGCTTCCCAGAAAAGGTGAAGTTTGAGCTGCCCTTGAAGTATGAATGGAGTTCACCAGACAAAAGAGCAAAAGGAAGAATGTCATTTTAGCTTAGAGTGTCAAGGCATGAGACACGAAAAAGTACAGGACGTTTCACTAACAAATTCAGGGTGTCTAAAGAGTGGTAAGTAGTAAGTAGGTTTGCAAAGTCTGGGCAGAGAGTACAAAAAGCCATACAGATCCCATGCTAAGGAATTTTAAGTGTATTCACAGGCGATTGGGTCTCAAACTTCAGTGTGTATCAGAACCACCATCCAGGCGTGCTAAAATACAGATTGCTGGGCCCCATCTCCAGAGTCTCATTAAGACTAGAATGGGGCTCAGAAATTTTCATTTTTAGAAAGTTCCCAGATGATGTTGATGATGCTGGTCCAAGGACCACACTTTAAGAACCACTGTCATAGGCAATAAGCAGCCACTGAGGGTAAGGGGGTAGATTTTTTTGTGGATGCCTCTACCATTGTTTTTCTGTTTACAAAGATAATTTGGACAGTAGTATGAATGAAAGAATGGAGATAAGAAGAACAGATAGGTGACTACTGTTGAGAGATAATGAGTCTGAACTTCAGCAATGGCACTGAATGTGAAGAAGAATTAACAGATTAAAGAAATAAGGAGGCAGAGCTGGGAGAACTGAAGACTTTTGTTTATTTGTGGTGTAATACATGGATGTATTGATGATTATTCATGATCTTATTTTACTACCACAAAGTCCATTTTTCACCAGAACAAAATAATCTGCCTTCATTTAAGCTATTAGTAATCATGAATAAATATTAAAATCTCCATATATCTTGTATATCATGGAGGAAACTGTTTATGGACTATTAACTAGCTACTAAAGGATCGTTGGAAAAAAACGAATCATGTCTATGAAGTCACTACTTAAGCAGAATGCTAAATTCTTAGCCAACAATCTTCTAATACCCACATGAGGTCTTAGTAAACTCAGTATTGCTATGTTTCTCAAGCTAAGAGTTGACATTTATAGGACAAATAAAAAAATGTGCAAGAAAAAAATTGGCAAAATTATGACATGAACATAGTAAAGTTCTGTCTACATTTATTAAGTTTAACAAGGAAGTTTTCTTCCCAGTGTTCTACGCCTCCATTATCTTCCTGCCCTCACTTATTAATACATATTTTCATACTAAGACACGTTTTTCCCTCCTGATAGTTTGAATTGCTGAATGGTTATTAGGGGAGAATTTTCATTCTGCTGGTGGCATATTGTTCTGAAGGAATTTTCTAACAGATCAATATTCCCCGGCTTCTGTCAGTCACCCAGGTCCCCACACGCAGTCCTCCCCACGAGGAATTAATGCCTTCTTTGTGGGCTTCATTGCACAATTCTTAGTGACTTCTTCCAACATTTTTAAATGTTTTTGGAAGGCCTTAATAATAGGAAGAAAAATTGGATTCTTATCCCAACTTGCATGAATAAATTCACACTTGAAGGAGAATGCTAAGCTTAGAAATCCGCCTTTGAAAACCACTCTTTCACTTACCACCATGAAGTACAAAACACAGTCAGCGGAACAGAGGGTCTCAAAGACAAATGTTATTCTTCCCAGTTCAGACCCCATGGCTCCAGTCATAGATGTTGGTGGTCTAGTTGACAGATTAAAATTGCAATATTTATAGTATGTTCTAAATACAATCTGGAACAGACTTGTTACTTTTTCCATTAAGCTGAGAGCCATGCTCTTCTCTTCCCCTAATCTACTGCTCCCCCCAAACACAACTCTCCCCTCGCTCACTCTCTACATGGCTGTGGCCTTAGGTCTAATATAGCGTCTACACAACCATGGTAATATGCTTGAATCTCCTGACGTAAACAGTACAAACCATCCTAAAGCAAGAGGAAGACTCCTTCTGGGAAATTTCAACATAAGGAACTAAAGCAAAACAGGATTAAACAATTTGTAACATACTACTTCACAGATAAAACTGGGAGAAAAATAAATATATAAACCAAAAGATATTCCTGCAAACAACTTGTACTAAGACCTCTTTATTAAGCATCCAAGCATCAGGGTTATTGTAACATTTGGATTAGAATATTGTTAAAAACTTTTAGCTTCATTTAAGTAACACAATTAATAACTACAGTTTCTCAATCACTGATTCTATAGATATTCTTAAGTGTAACTCATTATCCAACAACAGCTTGTCCTTTGCTAAGTACATCACAATATTCATATATTTCAGAAAAGCAGTCCTACTTCATTTATTTCTATAGGGAAACAGGCATGACGATTCTTATAGAAGGGAATCAGAATTGGATTTCCTTACTTAAATCCCGGGATATGCAAGTTTAAGATGAGGTAATCATTGTCAGAACCTCCAGCTCCACTCTGGATATGATCTCCGGCCACCTCCCAACCTGGAAATGGTAAAAAGTCATCTTTATTGGTAAAAATTCTATTAATAATTGCCAACAATCTTTTTAAATTAGGTAAGGAAAAAAAAGTAAAGAAAGGACCATTAGGGGCTGGCCCCGTGGCCAAGGGGTTAAGTTCCTGCACTCCACTTCAGTGGCCCGGGGTTTCACCAGTTCAGATCCTGGGCGTAGACATGGTACCGCTCATCAGGCCCAGCTGATGCAGTGTCCCACATGCCACAACTAGAAGGACCCACAACTAAAATATACAACTATGTACTGGGGGGATTTGGGGGGCGAAAGCAGGAAAAAAAATAGAAGATTGGCAACAGTTGTTAGCCCAGGTGCCAATCTTTAAAAAAAAAAAGAAAAGAAAGGACCATTATGTTCAAAGTTAGAAATACTTCCACAAAACTTCCCTATTTTTAAACTGCAATTGCAAATCGCACGCAGAGGTAGACTCCCAGATACCAACGAGGACGTTCTATACAATTTCCCAGGAAGAATCAAATAATACATATTTGCATAAAAGCTATTTAATGGGAAAACTAACAGCAGTTTTCTCAATGAGGCATAATTATTTTAACTAAAACAGATGGTCTTTATCTATTCTAATATATTGAGTTGGAAAATCCTAGTCTTCAGGTAACCAATGGGAAACAGAAACTTCAAATTATTTAATGAAGAAGATTTTGGTTCTGGAGTTCTTTCTTATAGTTTGATATGTTATTGTTCCCTAATTTAACTCCTGTTCTGTATTCATTCACATATTTATTCACCCAACTGGCATTCACTGAGTGCCAAGAACCATGATATGCACTAGGGATAGAAAGACAAGACTGGGCCCATCTTCTTTAAATAAGGTTAAAAAACACAAAGCTCAATTGAGGAGTTAGTAGACCACGAGAGAGACCCATGCTAACAAGTGCCAGCAGTCCAGGGTGATGGAGCTGCGCACAGAAGGTGGTGGGAGGTCTGTCCTCTGCACAGAAACAATCAACGGACCACAGGCTGAAATGCCACATCCCATGCACACCATCATGTACTTGTTTTTAGAAATCATATTTATATTTACTATGAAATTTTGAAAGCTACAGAAAAATTTAAAGAAGAAAAGTAAAATTACTTATCATCTCATCACCCAGAAAAAAACCACTGTTAACATTTTGAGGTGTTTTTTCCCCACTATCTTTTGATGTACACATGTTTTTACATCATTGAGATTTTATTGATAAATTTTGTATCATGGTTTTATAAATTAACATCATTGCATAAGCATTTTTATGTATAAATACTTCAACAATACGTTAATGACTGAATTCATAGTTTATCGTGTAGATAGATATAATACATTTCAAAAATTCACTAAATCACTCACTCTATAGGACGTACCTCCTGTTGACCACACATCCATTTTAACAATTTGGATTGTTTTTTCCTTTTAGCTAGCATAAATGATAATATAATGAAGATATTTTTGGTTAATCTTTTCTGTATTTTTCTAGAAGAGAATCCCAGTAAAGAAAATATTGGGTCAAATAAACATACTTTTAAACCAATATTTTGTGCTGTTATTCTGATTTTGAAAGTGTGTGTCCATGAAGAATATTTATTAAATATAGTAAACTAAATGAAAAAGATGAAGTAATTCATACTTTCCAGGAACCTACCGCTCCCAATTGACAGTCTCTTAACATTTTGGCATATTTCTTTTCAATCTTCTTCCAGTGCACACTTTTTTCAATATACCTTAGATTTTACTGTATAATCTACTTTATTTTCTGATTTTTTCATTTAGCATTGTCTTCTGATTTTTCCAGTTATCATTATTTCAAAAATATTTCTCCATTAAAAATCATTTCTCCATCTAATTTTAATGATTTAACAATATGTTGTATTTTTATAATAATTTTATTTAATCATATCTCCTTCAATATTTAGTTTGTTTTTTCCTTTTTTTTTTCCCCTTTTTCTTTTTGAGGAGCATCAGCCCCGAGCTAACATCTGCTGCCAATCCTCTTTTTGCTGAGGAAGACTGGCCCTAAGCTAACATCCCTGCCCATCTTCCTGTACTTTATACGTGGGACGCCTGCCACAGCATGGCTTGCCAAGCACTTGTGCACAGACCCACACCAGGATGCAAACCAGCGAACTCCGGGCCACCAAAGCAAAACATGCAAACTTAACTGCTGTGCCACTGGGCTGGCCCGTTTTTTCCTATTTTTTACTCTTATAAACAACACTAAAATTTACATATTTGTGCATGATTTTTTTCTTCACATCGCAACATTTCCTTGGTATACATTCCCAGAAGTGGAATTATGGGTTGGAGAACGGGAACATTCAAAATTCTTGAAACATTGGCAAACTGTTTTCCATATGGCTGCCATTTTTAATGCTTGCATAACATTTCATCTGATCACTATAGCATAACTTTCATAAACATTATTCTATTGCTGGATATTCAGACTATTTCAACTTTTGTTATTATAGATAATGCTCAATGAACATCTTCATGAATAAACAGCAACTTTTTTAAATAGTAAAAACTTATATTATAGCCTCTAAGTAAAGGAGTAAGCATGTGGATAAATCAAATATTGTCATGAGAGGTAGATGAAGAGTAAGTTCCCTAAAAGATCAAATAAAAGTTCCAGATAATCTTTCCTAGACAGTGAATACCCCCCCCCCCACACACACACAAATGTATTGATGCTTTCATAGAGTCATTCAACACCCTGGCCTTCCCAGTCTTATTTTTCCCATAGGTCTTAACTTCCTCAACTTAGAATTCAATCACTGGATCTTTTAGGAACATAAACTCTCATGGTCAGGTAAAAACTATTTATTTTTTCCTCTTCTCCCTTAAGATAATTTCCTAGAAGTGAGATTATTGGTCAATAAAGAGGAATATTTCATGATGTTTTATATATATTAAGGCTTGTCTTCCCCTCTTTCACTCATCTGTCTAACTAACATTATTCAAGGACCTGCTATTTGTCAATCTCTGTGTTCATGTGTACACCTCACTTCCTACATCCAAAATCTGTTTACTTTGGATAGGTACTGGTTTAAAACAGATGAAATTAAAAAGCATCGGGTTTTTTTCACAATAATCAAATATAATATGGAGAACAAGTGAGCTGATAAAAATCGCTAAAAAGTTGATAAAAATAAAGGATGCATTTTGGTGTAAAACCCTAATATTTATAACACCTACTCCCAGTGTCAAGTTTAGAAATACATAGATATTGTCATTCATTCAAACAATAAATATTGCAGAACAACTAAGTGCTAGGTTCTCTAAACACTTAAAATATTAGAACAAAAAAATTCAGCAACCATCCTATAGATCCCTGCCACATTTTCAAGTTTTCAGTAAGTGGGGTTCACATATAATTTGTAAACACACTCACAGATTTCACAGGCAAGGGGAGTCAGAGATGATTTAACTTCTCACCACAGCTCAGCGCTGAGCCAAACTAATCCAGCAGAAATGCTATCACACTACTCTTCAAAATGGCAAACCACATGTATTTCCTTACCTCCCTTGGAATCTATCCCAGAATTTATATCCATAAATGGTGACCCTCAATATCTACTTCAAAACTGACTTCAAAAACATGCAAAATAGTTATATTGTATCTTATAGGAAACTCATCTGGCTGTGACACCACATTTACTATTTTCAAGTGAGGGCTGGAAGACAGGCAAGTAGCCTAATGACAAAATTGAAGTCCTCCATACACATGTTTAGTATGTTTTTAAAGAGCTGAGTCCGAGAGTCTCTGCTGCCAAAATGCATCTCGTGGGCCGATTCTGAACTCACCGTTCATTCCGTCACACTTTGAATTTCCGACATTGAAGCAGGACGTTTTCATGTTGCCAGGAAGGACATTCCACCATTTATATTCAAACCCAAGTGCAGGCTCCGTTCCTGCTGGACACTGTCTACATTCTACAGGAGACAAGCAGGCGCACAATTACAGTTAAACTGTATCTAGACAACTCCCTCTTTCTCTGTTCCAAGCACTACCAAACTTTAATGGGCAGAGAGGGAAGTGGGAAGGAAAGATACGGGACCACCAATTCCACTAACAATTAATAACTTTTTCAAAAGCAATCTGAGAAGAAAAATAATTCTAGATGTACTATACACATATACACTTGACTAATATCAATAAAGAAAAGCATAAATATAAAATCTTTTAAAATAATTGTTTTCCCTTCATTTCTGGGAGAAACTGCCAATACTGAATTACCCTCCACAAGAAGGTAATTTTGAAACAAGTTCTATTACGTGTGATCTTAGAATCACTTCCCTCCACCTCACAAATAAGGAAATATTTCACCCTTCCTAGTGGTTATTAAACTTAACAGAATATTATACTATTTAATTACAGACTGATTACTTGAAATTAAAATATTGGCTATGTTGAAAAACTATGCTGGCAGTTGAGGGGTTTGGAAAGAGTTCAGTTTGTAAATAAACCTAATTTAAATTAATGACTGCAACACTGAAATGAAAGGGTCTTTTTCAGCCATTTTTTAATGCACCCAGGACACTTCACATTATCACATCAGTAAGAGAAGCAGTAGGGAGAGAAACATTCATTGAGCAAACACTTCCTGGTACCAAAGTACTGCAGGAGACAGTACTTTTACATAACCTGCTCAATAATAATGAGCTAGATATTACTGCCCACAATTTTACAGATGAGAAAATTGAAGTTCAAAAGGTAAAGTTGCTTGGATAAATCGCACTATTGGCAGTCTGCAGGATGTGGATTTAAACCCAAGTCAATTTGACATTCAAATCCTTTTCATGTTTGCTCGCTCTCTCTCTCTCGGACTCTGGATATTAAGTATACAGCAAGATATCTGCAACTAAAGTGCATTGTAATCTTTGTCTACTAAAATTAAAACAAATTTTGTAACCACTTTCAATATTATTTGGTAAATACTAAAATTTTCCTAAATATACACTTTGAAACATTCTACTTTGGGATTATTTTAATTGCTACATGATCAAAGTGAGTGATTTTCACTATTATTATACCACAAAATAAGATTTATTATTCCAAGGTTGAAACAGAAGTTACAGTTTATGCTTGCATCAACATGTGCATACACACACTGGAAAAGGGGTGCTTAATATGGTAGAATTTTCTTAATATCCAAATGCAAAAATGCATCCCATTAAGAGGATGCTACATAAAATGCCAATAAAAAGCTATCTTCATGATATGATAAATAAGCCACTGCAGTCTTACAATTCCACTATCATATTTCTCAAGTCTTCTTCAGCCTCTAAGAAAATATGTTTTAAAGAATTCTTCCATAAAAACAATTTAGAACAAGGTCACAGAGGTACAACAAGATTACTTTGCTAAAGGTCCAATTCTTGGGCCACTTGATATCATACCTTTTGTTCCATCTGAAAACATTCCAGGAGGGCAGGGATGACAAGAAGATGATCCATTGTTATAAAATCCAGGGTTGCAAGGTGGACAATCCTTCTTCTCTCCAGAAGGGGGCAACCTAATAGCATCTGTGAGATCCTCCCGGCAGATTTTGGGCTCTATCCACTTATACATCACCTGGGTCTGCCAAAAAAAAAAAAAAAAAAAGCTCACAAGTCATATAAGATGCTCTATTTGCTTTAAACTTTCAACAACAAAAATGTTAAACTGACAGCCTAGGAAAAGTCTAAATAGTGACAGAAGAAAAGGGCCAGCTGAAGAGAATCGAAAACCTTAGTAACAAAATGAGAAAAAAAGAAAAAAAAACTTTGGTAGGGAAATGACGGTTACTTCCAAATGTTTTTACCCTAAGCAACAGGCAGCTTTACCTCATACACAGCATGTTCTTCATCATGAAATTCCTCTTTAAAATACAAATAACACGATTACAGCCGTTACTCTTCTAGCCACCCATTCACTTTATCCCATAACCAACGTGTAAGTTTCTATGCAGAGACTGTCTTTTTCCTTTTGAGGCCTCACTACTCTCTTCCTTTCTCTCACCCACAGCACATATCACCATGCTTTGATCACAGAAAAAAAGGTTTATTTTTTTTAAGGAATATATCTTTCACATTTCAATCCTATTATTACATACATTTTCAACCCTATCATTACATACATACATATGGTAGTTGTTCTAAAGTCTTTTCCAATAACCTGAGGTTAGACCAGGAGAGCTGTAGCTAAAATATTCCTAATTCTAGGCCCTGTTGCATGTGTTCCTAACGTCATGATTAAGACTGCCTCTACCTTCAAGAAGAGAAGTCTTTTAAACTTTATCCTTTCATTCTCTCTCACACATGCATACACTGTAACACAAAACAAAATATAAGAAAATAGCTATAATTCAGCCAAACTCAGAAATTATGATTATGAAATTATTCTCATTTTAAAACCAGAAACACTAAATGGGTTAGCCATTTAAAAACAAAATTTATATGCTCAGTGAAAAAATTAAAATGTATTCTAAATGCAAAGAGAAAAATAAATCAATTCTTTCATAACTTAATACAGTTTTTAAAAAGAGACAAAAAGTTTCCTTCATTAGACATATAATCTGCTAAAAGTATTCTTTCTCCTTCGAAACAACTTCCACAATAATAAGTCTAATACTGAAGCCAGAAAACCAAAATTAAAGGCAATTCTCTAATGCTATTTCCAATTAATAGTAAATCATAAAGAGTATGCCCTTTAGGCCACTCAATTTTATTCTCAAGTATTCTCATAGGGAAGAGTAAATTACCTTATCTGAAGAAGGATGCTTAAGAAAATGATCTAAAAGGTAGATGTTTCAACAGAATTATAAATAACGTTTTTTCTTTTTACAACTTTCTCTTACTTCATTTATTTTATGGCCTACGTCATGATAGAGTTTAAACAGCCACTTCACCCATCTGCTTCTCCTAACATCTGTAAAATGATGGCTGTTCCTGCTGGAGCTTCTAAACAGCTGAAAAAATAAATTAGATTCTATATCCATAAGGGGCTCTCAACTCGTCTGAGAAAGGCAATATAAAAGTCAGGGAATCTAAGCAAATGAAACATCATTATATTTGGGGGAGTCACTTTTTAAAATTCTGGCTTAACAAGTACAGAAAACAAATTTCCAGTCCTAGTCAATTTACAAACTTGCTGATTTATTTTCACGTTAGTTAAAATTGCATCGAGTTATGTGTGAACTACTGCATTGCTGGGAATAGTTGGTTCCCACATGGGAGTGGGTGCGGTGCTGAGGCTGAGCACTGAGGACTGACCCTGGGGGCACCGTGGAATCTTCTCCATCACTTTGGGAGGTCAGTACTGTTATCCTCAAGTTTATAAATGAGGAAGCTCTGGATTAGAGCTGCTAAACAACTTGTCCCAAAGTCACACACAACTAGTAAACAGTAAAGTAGCACTAGTCAAGGAGAATCAGTTTGTAAAGGTAAAAATAATAAAATATGCAAATATATTTTTCACAAGTCAACAACCACATGATTTTCAATCCAAGCACAGTAAATGTTTAAAAATCAGAAAATGTGTAGCATCTTCAAACATTTAGAAATCAGATTTCAAATGCTCTGTGGTAAAAGTTTTGTTTACAAAGCCTCTTGCTTCACATGGCAGACTGATTCTGTGTCTCTCTTTCTAATGGGGACAGATGCTTTCAAGTCTGGCTGACTGGGGAAAGATAATAATTAATATTAATGATACTTAGCACCAGATGGCTCATAGAGCAGGTGAAAAGCCATCAATCAATTTATTCTTTGGCAAGTTGAGATAAAATTAGGAAATGTTTTATGAAACCAAAACCCTAATAGAGTAAAATTTACCAGACTGCCATTAAGATTACAGAAAATTCATAGTCTCCATATATATTTATATTAAGCATGAATAAAATACACTTTCAAGAAATACATGGAGGTATCAGTTGGAAGCTGGTTCTCATATCAAAACAAAATTCAAGACTGGAGAACTAAAATTTAGACAAATTTTGAAATTGGATTTGTCCATGGTTGCCTGCTTTCTTCCTTGAAATGTCCCTGCACAAATGCACCAAAGCTTTGTAGACTGGTTGGATTCATCAGACCTACACTGCACGTGCTTTGAAAGGGTCTACCAACTGCCACTTCAACCTCACTACCTTGTGCTGCATGACGTTCCAGCTCAGATGTCCCAGCCAGGCAGGCTATTGCTTGCCTCCCTGCCTCTCCCAAACCTTGACCCTTTCCAGTTGCAAGTCACTGGGCACGCATCATTTGTCTCTCTTGGAACTACCCACACCATTCTGCCAACTTGTTTCTGACGTCTCCCTCAAAGTCACGCTCAACATCCACATCTGCTCCAAGCACGTCCTCAGCCCACCCATCTACATATCAGCATTCACTTGGATTCCTTTCCGCAAAGCCTCTGGTGTCTTCTCTTTTCCGTTGTGGTTATCCCTTCGTCCCCTTTCTAAATGCTTAAAAGCCTGGGTCCTCTTCCTTTACGTGGAAGACACAGGAGGATTTAATATTATACTGGAGGTTCTAGCCAAGGGTTTAGGCAAGAAAATGTTCTAAAATTAGTTTGGGGTGAAAATACTAAAAACGTTGAGTTGGCACTTTAAATGGATGCATTGTATGGTATAAGAATTATGTCTCAATAAAGCTGTTTTTATAAAAAATATATTTTAAAGAAGACGTGTGAAATTTTCATTTTAAACAAATTCAGAAATCCCTAGTGGCTGAGAAATGCCATGTTGTTTTCCCATCATCTTAATTAAGAAACATGGGCTCCAAGTATATTTGATTTGCTTAAATTCTATAGGAAGATAGGCAGATCTAAAACCCATATCCCTTTATACCCTATTTTTTAATATTCCCTATATCTTACTCCTGCCATATAACTTAGAAGTACTGTGTTACAGACAGTGAAGATTTGGAATAATTTATAATACTGAAGTTCATTAAAGGGTAAAGAAAGTACTAGATAATCCGATACCAAAACACTAGCAAACCTCCTACGATCCATCACTTTGCTAGACTCAGAGATGAAAGCACTGCCTGATCAAATGTCTCCTCTCAAGAAGGCTCCCTCTGAAACATTCTTCCCTCTTGGCACTCTTCTAGCCTGGGCAGGAAATGTCCTATTTGACAAAACATGCTGTTCCAGAGTTGGGCGGCACTGCTTGTTAAAGCATCATTACATACCACTGGAATTTACCTTCTGTAAATGCACCTGATAGTCCAAATTTTGCCTTATGGAATAATAAGGAAAAATCTATTTCTTCTTTTCTAAGACTTCCCTTAAAATGCTTAAATTTACTATTTAGGAAATCTTACTAAGTAGCTACTATGCGTAGAAGAAAGCACTGTGGGAAATTTAAATATTAACACAAACTGTTTGCTCTGAAGGAGGTTGTAGTCTAATAGTGATAAAACAGGTTCACTATAATATAGAAAAGAAAATACACAGAGGATACAAAAGCATCGGATTTAGAAACAGACAGATTTGGGTTAGAATTCCAGCCTTAAGACTTCTCAGCTATAACCTTAGGGAAATTACTTAATCTCATTACACCTCAGGTTCCTAACTGCAAACTGTCTAAATTGCACAGCTTTGAAAAAAAAGAATTAGAGACAACGTTTGAATACATACACACTGGGTGTGCACACAAATATGTAAATAATAGTGGCTCCTGCTATTCATACTATGACTACCATTACTATAATTATTGTCATTACCATCATCATCATTTCCAAGAAAAACATGAAATCTCACGGGTTTTCAAAGGAAAGAGAGCAAAACTCTTTGGGACAAGTAGGAAACATAAGAAAGATAATCATGATTTCTCCATCCCATGGTATCTTTTCTCCAATATTCCCAGCTCCTTCATCCATACTTCATATGAAATATTTTAATATCCTGGCCTCTCTTCTTTAAATTCTGCCAATATTGTCAAAATTTTCTCAAGCCTTCTGCCAAGGACACAACATAACACTCTAAATGTACTAATCATTCATTCACTTACTAATTCTCCCATTCATTAATTCATTCAAAAGATGTTTCATCACCTTCTGTGTGCCAGGTACTCTACTAGGCTTAGGGATTTTTTTTTAACATGGTTAAGAACAAGTTTCTGTATACACAAAGCTGAGAGTCTGGTGAAGAAAACAGTCATCAAACAGGTATTTGCAAAACCGTGATCTAATACCAAAACTTTAGCAAGCTTTCTATGATCACCAAGTAAGAATCAAAAGAGGTATGTACAAAATTCTGTGGGAATTCCCAGTACATCAAGACAATATTGCCAGATCTATTTATGTTATTTAAGAGTGTATTCATTCTGCGAACCCGTACAGAATCACTCTATTTTTATTGTGGTAACAGACACCATTTTTTTCTCTTTAAGAACTGACTGGTGTGACACTGAAAGGAACTGGGAATGATATGGTCTGGTGTCCCCAGCACAGGGATTAGCAGGTGAACTAAGCTGTGCAACTAGAGTATCCCACAATTCTGGACAGAATGGTTGGTCTGAGATGGGCTCGCAATTCAAGCAGGGCCGGTTAGAGTCTTTTCTGAAACTCTGGTCAGCGCTCCTGCCATCAAAAGTTGTGAGGATGACAGCGGCTTGGGGGGAGACACCACTGGGCATCTGGTACCAAACAAAAGAGCCTGCCTGAGAAGAAAAGCACATGAGTCAAGAATATCAGTGAGAAGAGCAAGAGAAAGTCTTGCTAAAACTGTTTGCTCTATCTTGACTTCCTAGTCACATGACTCAAAAGACTACTGTCCCACCTCCCACCACACCAATTCTTAAAAGTGTTTTTTAAATTCATTAACAGAACTTTACAATTATCCCCAAGTGTGGAAGCAAAACTGTCACCTTGCTCTGCCACCAAAGGAAACATGTACATCGCATCCCACAATCAAGGGAAAAAGCACCACTTTTCACCTTGACAAAACAGACCAAAAAAAAGTTACTCTGTCTAATTTTAGTACCCAAATTAAATAAAAACTTAAGCCTTTTCTGTAAATTGCTGACTCCCTAACAAAACAACATTATCTCCCTGACTTTTGGAAGCAGATATGAGACAACTCTTGTCGATATGATCAACAAGTGAGAGATTTCGTTTTTCAAACATGAACAGCTTAACTGAAAATCATGAATCCTTTGTATTCTTTGGAGGTTTTTTCCCTTTAAGTATCTGTCACATTTTTTATTTATTGAGCCAGGTCTTCCAAAACTTGGATTCTCTTGGAAATATTTTTGGCAAGTTAATGTTTTCTCTTTTCTAAATACTTTTGTATCTGAGACTTCCTTTAGCACAAATAAAGTTTGATTTTATTAATTTAAGCTCATTATTCAAGCACACTCAGGTGTTTCTGAATCTTAATTCTGTCATTCTTGCCAGTTTTACTGATTTACTTATTCCTAATGTCTTCATGCAAGTTAAGGACTTTTAAATAAAATGTTGAAAATAAGTCATCTGAACTCATATTCTTCTTGGTATGAGTTAGAATATGTATAAATACTTTGTTAAATTTATATTCCTATGATGAATACCTGATACAAACTACACTAATTAATATCAACTATACTCACTAGTTGATATCCATTTATTCAAACATTTACATATACTTCTAAAATTAGCCATCTATCTACTTAACCCTATTATTTAGTCCACAATTCTCTGCCTTATCCACAGGGAGATCATGAGAAGCTCTATCAAATATCTTAAAAGATGCCTTCTCTTGATGAATACTGCCCATTATCAATGGTCAACATTCTTTCCAGCTCAAATCTCAAGTGGTGAATCTGTGCATGTGCTTGTATGAAGCTTTATGGGTATAATTCAATATATGTAAAAAGTGGGCTCTAAGTAACTTGTTGAAAACAAAACATACATAAAAATTTCAAGTTAACTCACTACTATGAAACCATGCCTATTCTCTAGCACTGGCCTACGTCACGAGTCACATCTAATGCAGCTTCCTACCCACACACCCACTCATCAGTCACACTTACATCCCTTCAGTTCTTTTGACACACCATGTTCCCTCCCACCTCAGGCCTTTGCCATCCTGCTCCCTCTTCCAGAAATGCTCTCCTCCCAAGCCATGGCCTAGATTTTATACAGCTCTGAAGCCTTCCCAGACTGGGTCAGATTCTCATAAAACTCAGACTTCTCTGCTGTAGCACTAATCACAATTGGAAATAATAATTCATTTTCTTTGACGACTGAATTTCTCTTCCTCTAAAGTCTAGACCGGTGGTTCTCAAATTGCTGAGATCCTGGACCAGTAGAATCAGAAATACCTGGGAACTTCTTAGAAATGTAAATTCTCAGGCCCTGCCCCAGATCTCCTGAAACAGAAAATCTGGGACAGGAATCTCCAGGTAAGTCTGAAGCACACTAAAGTTTGACAGCCACAGATCTACAATCTATGAAAACATTTCTTCTTCTGCCTATCCTTAAGCTCTGCCCTTATCACCCAGCACTTTGTATACAACCAGTGCTCAGTAAAAATTCACTAAATGAATCAATGAATGAGTAGGCATTCCACATTTTTCATGATGTTAATGAGAGAGAGTCTCTTAATCAAGATCAGAATGGTTCCAGTTACCAATTAAAATTTTCCTGAAAAATGACTCCTATAGGCAGGAAGCAATCAAATAACTAAGCTTCAGAATGAACATAGAAACTTGTAACATCCTTGTGTCATATAAATTATAATGTTCAAAGCCTGTATACTTCAATAGCTGCTTCCCTTGATGATCCTCTCCAAACGGGGGAAAATAAGATCAAAGAGAGTATTACAGGACAAAAAGAGCCAAAACACAGTCATTGAACGACCTGGTAAACATCACCAAACCACTGGCAAATCACCAGGCCATTCCAAGCAAGAACAAAATGCCTTTTGAAAAAGATGACACCAGAAAAAAATGAAAATGTTGGAACAAACAAAAATAGAAAAAATTCACATTCACATGTTTAATCTACACTTCTTCACAATATCTGGTATTTAGTTAAGTTCTCATTGCTTTTTGTTTACTTCTGAAGCTAGAAACATTCATCTTGAAATAAGTCTTAAACCACATTTTAAAGAATCACTGAGTTTATGGAGTGCTAGTACATTGTTTTGTTCTATGCTGAGAACATGTTCAGAGTTGACCCAGACTCAATAGAAAAACATAATTTGTGTGTATGTTTGTACACAATGTGCCTGTGGGTGCACGCACATGCACATATATATGTGTGTCTGTGCATGCATGTGTGTGAGCCTGTGCATTCTACATTTAAAATATGGCCTTACTTACTTTTAGGCCCAGGTCAGCTACATTTTGTCACAGTATTTATTGACATAATTAACTACTCATTGACATAATAAAAATATGACTTTTGAGTATTTTCATTATAGCAAAGACAAGATCCATTTGCATTTTAGAATTCATTCATTTAAGCTTCAGTAATAGTGAATTAATGATTATTACATAAAATAAAGTTAATTTGCTTTATTAACAAAGCAAGTTTAGCCAAGAAAAGTTTAGCTAAAAAAACATTATTTCAAATTACTTTCATCCCACCTTAGTGGCTCTCTACATGTATTTTCTAAATAGAAATAGTCCTTACTTGGCCATTATGGTAGGGTCTTCAAGACCTTACCTCAAAACTCCTGTCATTTAAAAGCTATTAGTTTGAATTACTATTCTTATTAAAAATAATAGATGTACTTCTAATCATTGAAATATTCCAGTAATTTAAACTGGCCTTCCCTCAAATTATTTTGAGTTAGTAAGTACTTGCTCACTGCAAATACTAACAGGTACTTGGACTTAAGCATTCAAAAGTAAATTCTTTTTTTTGTTTGTGTTTTGTTTTGTTTCAAGGAATATTAGCCCTGAGCTAACATCAGCTGCCAATCCTCCTCTTTTTGCTGAGGAAGACTGGCCCTGAGCTAACATCCATATCCACCTTCCTCTATATGTGGGACACCTGCCACAGCATGGGTTGACAAGTGGTGTGGATGTCTGCACCCAGGATCTGAACTGACAAATCTCCAGCTTCCAAAGAGGAACGTGTGAACTTTACGGCTGTGCTACTGGACTGTCCCAGTAAATTCTTTTAAAAAAAAAATTAAGGACTAAGGGTAAGATTAATAACCATATAAGATTTACAGATTAGAATCTAAGGATACAAAATTTAAAAATGAAAGTAATACTGACATCTGTACAGATTTTCCAAACTAGGTTAAGAAGTTAAAGGTCATTGTTTCAAAGACACAAACATACAGAAAGAACACTCCATCACAGCCACTTTAATCTCAGTTTCTCCCACTGACAGAGGCTGGTAGAGGCTAACTTTTTAACTAAGAGGATGGCAGGTCAATTGCAGAGTTCATGTGTGTATTTTTCCTCTGGCTAAGTGCCATTTATATGGTAGTTACTTTGCATTTTCTAAATGCAATTACACAGTAATCTGCCGTAACTGAATCAGCCTATGGCTGCGTGGCTTTATTGACCTAATCTACTGAGTGAACAAATAATCAGAGAAGTTCCGCATATTTCCATCCTGTGAGTCAGAGTCCACATTTTAAGGCTGTGCCCCTCCCAATGTTACTACTTCTGAAAAAAAATGTTAAAAATAGCCATAATTGGGGCTGGCCCCGTGGCTGAGTGGTTAAGTTCGCAGACTCCGCTGCAGGCGGCCCAGTGTTTCGTTGGTTCAAATCCTGGGCACGGACATGGCACTGCTCATCAAACCACGCTGAGGCAGTGTCCCACATGCCACAACTAGAAGAACCCACAACGAAGAATATACAACTATGTACTGGGGGGCTTTGGGAAGAAAAAAGACAAAAAAAAAATAGCCATAATTTATTGAGCACTCACTATGTGCCAGGTGCTGTGCTAGGATTCTTAAATTGAGTATTCTCATGGCAGCCTTATGAAGTAGGTACTGATATTATCCCCATTTTGCAGATGAAAAAACTGAGACTTAAAGCAAATAACTTGCACACAGCACTAATAAGCAGTAGATGTGAAAATCAAAGCCACAAAGGCAGGCTTCAGAATCTAAATTCTTAAATTCTCTCTGTACTACTTGTATACAGGTGGTATAAATCAGCTCCTTTAACGCTCTCATGAACAAATTAGAATCTGTTCAAAGTGGGAAGAGGGTTGGATAGCTATGGGATGGAGTTGACTGAACAAGGCCTATACCTTTCCGTCTTTGTCACATGGAGTGTGGATCTGGAAATAGTCTTTAGTGGTGCAGGGAGGGCGGGCCATACACTCGCTGGAGCCTTCCTCTGCAGTATAAAAACACATTTCAGAAATGAGTCATTTCCACTGTGGCTCTAAGAAAAGGCAAAAGTCAAAACAAAGAAAAGCAGACAACTGAAAATAACCTTACCAGAGAAATGCAGGTAGAACTAGCTAGGCCTAAAGAAAAGAAAGGCCTGCATTTTTATTCTCCCTAGAGCAATGAACGTTTCCATGATGCTTTATTCCATTATCACTGAACATTGTAAATTTGGAACAAAGTTTTTAAGTACATCTCTATGCCAATGAATCATCTAAAATTACAATATGAATTTTTTTTAGATTAGTATAAACATATCCAAAGCAGTTACCTGTCAGGTGTGGAATAGAACAAATTACAAAGGGAAAAGTCATGCAGAAAGGCATAACAAGAAGTCATATTTTATCCATCCAATACTGATTCACTTCAGCACTTTAGTTTCTGGCCCACTGTTCCCATCACATTGTATGTGTGACTTCTCGCTTATGACCTCACATTCGACAAACATACACTTCGAAAGAAAAGAACAAAGAGTATAAACTGGTGAAGACTAGTCCTACCTGAAAATTGGGAGTCTTCTGCACACTTTATGCATTCTTTGGCTCCTTTCTGCGAATAGGTGTTTCTGGGACAAACCTGGCAGTTGAATGAACCTGGTTTGTTGCTGAAGGTGCCTGGTTTGCATGGAAAGCACTCTGATGTGTATGCCACCCCTGTGTGGTAATGAAAAACACAGCATGGGAGGGAGGACCCAACAGCAACAAGCAAAGCAGCACCTTCTTGCTTCTACCCAGAAGTGAGAGAGAAATATAATAGTAAGCTCAGCCTTTATCTTTTATCTCACGAATTCAACAGCAAGAAAGTATTTACTGAGTGCAAGGAACTGGGATAGATACTGAATAAAACAATTAAACAAGAGGTTGAAATTTGATAGAGGTATAGTAAATATATAAACCGAGTTGTCAAAAGACAACTTCACTAACTCAGAAGTGGGACAAACTCTAACGACTCCTCCAATTCTATAAGCCTCCCATGCTGTGATCTTTGTGGCTACCTGTTCCCTTTTTCTCTACTGCTCATTAAGTCATAGACAAGACCTATTAGACCCTAGAAATGGCCTGACTTCTCTCCTGATTTGTAATTCCAGCCTTTGCCAGCAGATGTCCCTATGACCAATGAGTTAGTGTCACAGGAATGAGCATGCAGAACATACTAAAATATAAGCCAAACTTCAATAAAGGAGAATCACTGTTTTAATTTAAAGTAGCCCTAATTGGGGCCTGCCCCAGGTCTGTGCGTTCTGCTCTGGCAGCCCGGTTCATGGATTTGGATCCCAGGCATGGACCTACTCCAACTATCAACTATGCTGTGGAGGTACAGCTGTTAGCTCAGGGCTAATTCTCCTCAAGCAAAAAAAAGAGGAAGATTGGCCGTGGATGTTAGCTCAGGGCAAATCTTCCTCACATACAAAAAAAAAAAAAGCAGCCCTAATTGAGAATGAACCATGCCAGGGTTTATTGGCCATTCTTCTGAGCCAGAAAATGCCCAGATGGCTCAGAAAAGCAAAAGGTTTAGGACATAGGAGAAGATGTTTATTTTACTGTTACTTTTATGGATATAATAGTGACCTGGGTGAGCTTGAGGCCTGGCACAATAGAGATGTCTTGAATGAAATCTTATTAACAAAGATTTTTTTTTCTTTAAAGATACATAAAATTTTCATCATGTTTACTTTTTCACTCAGATTAAATAATTCAGTTTAAGGGTACAAAAAAAACTCCAGTCAACTTGCCAGGAACAAAACCAGGGTCTCTAGGCCTGTATGATGCCTAGCATATTAATTCCTGTCCCATGTCCCCTTGAGCCAGCCACAGCAACAATGGAAATAATATTTTAACTAACTAAAAAATGTGATAGGAGACTATTAAAGCAGACTACTGTGAAATACCTTCAATTGTGATATTTTTTACCAACACTGGCTTGACGGCCTTAGAACCCATAAGGATGCCGGTAGTTCTCCAGTATAGTATGTTTGTGCCGGCTTTCAACATTACCTGTAAAGAGAAACACAAGACACTTAGGTCAGATAAACCATGCTACTTCCAACCATACCTAAAAGCTAATCCCTTATACACTTTTCAATGCATTATAATGAAACTCTAGGGGCTTGGCCCAGTGGCACAGCGTTTAAGTGCGCATGTTCTGCTTCGGTGACCTGGGGTTCGCTGGTTCGGATCCCGGGTGCGGACATGGAGCCATTTGGCGGGCCATGCTGTGGCAGGTATCCCACACATAAAGTAGAGGAAGATGGGCACGGATGTTAGCTCAGTGCCAGTCTTCCTCAGCAAAAAGAGGAAGATTGGCAGCAGATGTTAGCTCAGAGCTAAACTTCCTCAAAAAAAAAACATAAATAATGAAACTCTAGGGAAAATAAAAATACATTAATTTGCAACCCATAAATTTAAGTCTACTGTTAATTCAGACCTAAGCTCTACTGAAGTTCACATTTTCTAAAAAATAGATTGCCAACTCAAAAAAAATAGAGTAATAACGAAGGAAAAGAAAATTCTTCAAGTCTGAAAAAGGTAAAATGATTTTCAAAACATTTACACGAAGTGTTGGTTTATATTTAAAAGACACTTATTTTAGAAAGTGAAGGGCATTCAGACCAATTATATATTTATTAGCTGCCACTATTCCTAAGTAGATCTTTGGGCTCTGAAAACAAAAAGGCAACAGACGAGTTTGCTTTCCTTTAAAACTACTTCGTAAACAACACTGCAACAGCAACAGGAGAAAAATACGACTGTTCTTATAGGACAGCCTGATTTAACTGTACAACTCCAGAGCTTAAACACTGGATACTACATCTAATATTTGCTTCCTTTGCCACCAGAACATTTTTCTATTCATAAATCAAACACTTTTCTGATACATTTCATTAGTCAAGCGAACTAATTTTAAGAGTTCCTTGCTTTCTCATTTGCACCCTTATTCTTCTATGTGGTCTCTGGCTGGCCAAATTCAAGCTGTATAAAATTAAAATACAGCCAACTACTTTACCCTGCCAGAGCTTCAGAGAAGTACTGCGTTAAGTACTTTCCCCTTGTATTAAGTCTTCATAAGTGAAGAGAGTATATCTGTTGCCAACGGTTGCTTGTACCTTCAAAGCCCAGCTGAACGAATGCTTAATTAAATGCATCTTAAGTGCTACTAATATCACTTCCAGACATATAAATCAAAAACTTACTCTGAAAGGGTACATTATATTAATTACTCAAGGATGAGGCACCTGCCACAACAAAGGCAAGGACGGTCACTTATTGAAATAGAGCTCAATCTACATTGCAGGCACCACCCTAGGCCCTTCCCATACATCATCCCATTGAACCTGCAAGACTGCTCCCGTTTCTCACACGAAAAATCAGACTCAAAGAGATTAAGCCAATTGCCTAAAAAAACACAACTACCAATAAGCCAGAGTTAGATTTTAAATCCATGTCTTACGCCAAAGAGATAGTACCTCAAATAATAACAGATTCACAGATTGTGATACCTGATATTTGCCTTCAAGCGTTAGCATTGTCCTGTGGAGTAGTACGTAGTTACCTGACTCAATGAGACTAGGGAGGGGAGAACATTGAGCAAGGGGGGGCAAATAAATAGGAAGCAGGTTTAGGCTCCAAAAATGGATGAATTTTGTGATATGCAGAGCTGCCCAACAATGGAGTCAGCACAGTCCCCAACAAGACAAGCTTGAAAATCACTTGTTGGAAAAACTGCAGAGAAAGTTGAATGAAAGGAACTCAAGGATCCTTCCAATGCCAAGAGTCACTGTTTCTCTCCATGTGATAGGCACATCTGTAAACTTACATATCCAGAGGTTTTGTGTATTAGTGTAAAAAGACTTCTCTCTTCTTAACGACCCTTTGAAAAGGTAAAAGTTGAAGTACAATGGGAAAGAGAAGGGAAAGGAACCTAAGGAGAAAGAGAAAGGTAAGAAAAAGTACCTAGAAAGAACCTGTGTCCATGAAACTTAGGGTCAATTTCTTCCCTAACTAGAAATTGTATAAATTAATACGCAATTTTGATTTTTTTAAACTTTAAAAAAAAAGGGTTGAGAAAGGAAGGAGATGAATGGATTGGTTAGAAAGAAGAATAGAGAGAGACTTACAGAGTGAGAGCCCCATTCTCCATTGTCAGTGAGTTTTACCCACTTGTCAGCGGCAGTGTCCATCTCCTGGCACTGATCATTTTGAATCTGTGGATTAAACACAAGGGCCCCAGTAAAGCTTCTTGAATAATGGCTTTAATTAAATTCATTACTCAGCACTGGACAAGCTGCAAGAGTTTCTTTTAGTACATACTAAACAATGGCCATGAGTAATTCTCAACAAGTCAACACACCATGACCTCTGGAGCCTAAGTGACAACTGCATTTGAGTGAACGGTTCTAAGCAAACCATCCTCATTATTGTAACAAAAAGGCTAGCCCATTAAGAGTTAAGGAGGGGGAGACGGAGAGGGAGAGGGGGAGAGAGCAGTTAACACTGAAAATTCACTAAAGGAGAAAAAGTCATCACAAAAATCTGCCCAACTTACCAAAATGTTTTAAAAGCTTGCATTCACCATGCAGGCCCAATAGTATAAAAATAAAGTTTAATTTTACAAGATTTAGGGCAGTAAAATTTTAAATGAGAACTGCTTTGTCTTCAGTTAACCCCAGGACTTAATCCAAATGTGTAGGTAAGGGGCCACAGCCTACGTCAAAGTCTCAAATTTTCACTGGGGGTTAAATGTTAAGCACATGCCATGCCACCTCAAATCAGCTACTATCTTTAGCACTAAACACTCTGTGCTGTCCAGACAATTCTTCCAAAATACCTAAGGAAAACTGCTTTTCCAGGCCTACGAAAAATACAGACATCAAAAAGTCAGACCATCTTTACAGTATTTCACAATAGTCAGCAACAGGGTAGGGTTAAAATAAGATGTCTATTTCTTTCTTCTCTAAATCATCTTGCCACTTCAGTAAGCCTCCTGTCCAGTTTACAAACAACATAAAAATGTCTTCCATGAGAGATATTTCCTAAAGACTTAATATCAGCTACTGAGGAGATCTGCTTTAATTAAATTTAAGTGTCATATTTACATTATAAGCATAATGACCATTTTAATGCAAGTGTTACGACATCTTTAAACAGATTTGGACCCTGAATATACCTTTGGTGGTCCATATTTGGATAGGCTGAAACCTTTTTTTCAGCTGAAATGAGACATCGTGTGTTATTGTGACATTCTTCTGTCATTCTGGAGACCTGAGTTCTGCTATTCATTCTAAAAGTAATTAGTAAAGGTATAACCTTAGTCCAACTGCTTATTCTCTCTAGGTTTCAGTTTCACCATTTACAAAAAAGGAGAGGGGGAGAGCTGAATGAAATTCCCACATACTTCTAAAATTAAATACTTTATTGCTTTAAATTATGTAATGTCCATAGGTATAACTGTATCTTTCAGTCTTCAGACATTTCACTTCCATTAACCATTAGCATGATGACCGTGAAGAGTTGACCCTCTGAGTCAATAATCACTAAAAGAAGGAACATGAACTCGCCATCCCTTTTCAGTCTATAAAAGCCAGAATAACAAAGGCATCATGGAAAGGAAGTAATGAAGCTTCATGACTCAAGAGTATCTTTACTGACAACTCTCAAACGACTTACTAGACAATACAAAACTAAATGCTTATTCTTACAATTATATAATTACCTTGATTCTTAACTTTAGTCTTAGTAATATTGCAAAACTGTCTCATGAAATAGGAAATTATTCACTCTGAGAAGTATTTTGCAAACAAAACGGAGGTTAAAAAGCAAGTCGGTTTGAATGTTGCTTAACATCTTAAACTCAAAGGATATTAGAGTCAGGAGGCTCCTTAAAAGTTCTTGTCACAATCCACTTTACAAAAGAGAATGCCAAGGGCTGGAAAGTTAACTTAATTGCCCAATAACACAACTAGCAACTGCAGAGTTGGGACCTGAGCCAGAATCTCTTGACTTCAAATCTAAGGCTCATACTTTCATGGAAAATATCTCTTCCTAGCAAACTCTTGATTTAGAAATTTCCACTATCAAGTGCAATATAAATTTAGAATTATTAGTACATTTGTTCCTGGAAACTGGACCACAGAAACATTTTACAAGATATTTTCCCAATTACTTGCACAACACACACTTCTTTTGGTATAAGAAGTCAATCTGAAAACATTTTCTCAAGCATTTGAGTCACCACCACCACAAATATTTGCTAGATTAAATTTAGTTTACATAAAATAGTTAAATAATTTTAGTGGTAACAGCCTATTCTGTTAGACTATTATTTTATCCTATATTCTGCAATGCTATTTAATCTCTTAACAGAGACATCAACTAACCCACCCACTGATTCCTTTAGATTGTATAAAACTGATAGAATCAGAAACATGTGGCCACTTCTACTTCTGAAATATTGCCATGATTACACTTAAAAAATTGAAATATTTGAAATTGCAAAGAGAAAAAAAAAACCTTTTAAACAAAAACTAAAACTGGTGGAAACATATTTTCAACAAAATAACATTTGTAGCTATTAGAAAAACCAATTGGGGGGCCAGCCCGGTGGTGCAGTTAAGTTCACAGGTTCCACTTTGGTGGCCCGGGGTTCACCAGTTCGGATCCTGGGTGCAGACATGGCATCGCCTGGCAAGCCATGCTGTGGTAGGCATCCCACATATAAAGTAGAGGAAGACAGGCACGAATGTTAGCTCAGGGCCAGTCTTCCTCAGCAAAAAGAGGAGGATTGGCAACAGATGTTAGCTCATGGATAATCTTCCTCAAAAAAAAAAAAAAGAAAAGAAAAAAAAGAAAAAACAATTAAACTGAATCTTGGCGAAAATATTTTCTACACAAAAAGTCTAAACAAAATGGTCATTTAATAATCATAACCAAAGTAAAACAAGCCCAATGTTACTCTACAAGGTGGGAGTTCAGACATAAAGAAACAATATTAACCATTAGATAAAATATTATAGAAAAAAATTTTTCTTTTAGTATCAAAAGCTTCAGTCAACATGAAAAACTGAAGAGGCATAAAATGGAATGGGAACAACTGATTAGAAGAAATTTTACATGAATTCTCCTTAAAAAGTAAATTCTTGGGGGGTCAACCCTGTGACAAAGTGGTTAAAGTTCCGTGCACTCTGCTTAGGTGGTCCAGGTTCACGAGTTCGGATCCCGGGCACGGACCCACTCCACTCACCAGCCATGCTCTGGAAGCATCTCACATATAAAGTAGAGGAAGACTGGCACAGATGTTAGCTCAGGGCTAATCTTCCTCAAGCGAAAAATTAGGAATATTGGCAATGAATATTAGCTCAGGGTGAAATTTCCTCAGTAAAAAAAAATAAATAAATTCTAGAATATAAAAAAACCCTTACAAAGAACTCAAAGAAGATGTTGTTGTCGACATACTGGTACTCAAAGAAGACATAACCCGACTTCTTAAGGTGCACAGCATAAATCAAAGATACCGTGCAGTCATCACGATTTGACTCTATGTAATTTCCACGAGGGATCCAAGAAGAGCTGTGGAAACAAAACCAAGAGGCATTTTATGTGAGCATTCAGAAACCGCCTCTGTTCACGAGTTATGTAACTCAGATTCAAAAGTAGTTCCATCAGTAAAGCACAGCAGAAAAGACGAGAAGCTTTTCCAGAACTCAAAGGCCAACACATTTACTGGCAAATGTTCATTTCTTATGGCACATGAGCTCCAAAATTGTGGTAAGGTTATGTATCAATTTGCTATGAAACTGTTATTTTTCACCAAAAAATTTGATCACTGTATAGGTGACCACTAATTCTAATAGTCTTATGTGGAATTATTCTTTCAAACAACATACGAAGTTTTATTTATAAACATGTACACATAGCAGGGTGGTGAGGAGGTTCTTGCTATGAGAGAAGAAATAGTCCTTTAAAAAGCCAATCTAAAATGAACCTAAATAAAATGCAGATCACAGTTTCATAGTATATAGTAGGAATAAAAGTCTAATTGGAACTTTTATCTACAAAACAGGACGAAAAATTTTAAAAATACACTGTTAAACAAAATTTGGGTTGTAAATCTAACCATAAGTTAATTCTTAGAATTAATCAATAAGGAATCACATATTGACTTTCTGGGCAAAAAAAATTTCTAACCAAACAGTAGGGCAGCATAAGGTAACATCATTCTCTTCAGATTTAACTTTTTATCTGGATGATAAGAGTGAGATTTTGGCAAATTCTTTTCTTTTTTCTAATAGAAAAAAACCTTAATGAAAGACTGAGACTTCCACATCCCACATGACTAACTGGCGTTGGATTGCCCTTTCTCTTTAATAATCTACTAAACAAAATATATGAGCCATGTTCAAACATTGACAACAGGCAGTGCAGGACTGAGATTCTTGAGAGCAGAAAGACACATGAGATAAAGCCCAAATTGACCTTGACTTCATTCTTCAGGACACTCTCCAGACTATGGCACCAGGACATAGCATCCAAGCAGAGCACAGTGGTCTCACTGAGCTGAGCATCCGAGACGAGTGTTTGGGTCAGCTGAAACAGCTAGAATTCACAGGCCTGAGAATCAGAGAAAACAGAGGCTCCAGAAGTCCACATGGAGTTTCTCCATAGGTCCTGAGGTTAGGGCTGGAGTGTACCTACCAGAGAACAGTCACTAAAAGCTGAGACATAATCATAGAGGTCACTTTAATGGGAGTCATTAGAGCTCCAGGCCAGCCAGAGAGGAGAAAACTTGATAACCATATTGGACACTCATCTGAAACTCTAGAATTTGTACACCTTAGGAATAAGGGCCATGCCAAGAGCAAGTGTCAACAAATGTTTTCATAAAGGGCCAGACAGTAAATACTTCTGGTTTTGTGAACCATCTGGTCTCTCCTGCAATACTTAAGTCCCCCATTGTAGCTCAAAAGCAGCCATAGACAATGCAGAAATAAATAAGCACAGATGTGTTCCAATATAACTTCATTTACAAAAACAGAGGGAGAGCCCACAGGCTGTAGTTTGCCAATACCTGCACTAGAGTAAAGGCTATGACCTAGAATTAAGTGTAAAACCAGTACAGAGCCACCTTAAAAAACAATAAAACCAGGCCTGAGAAGATCAAGGCGCTCTCCTAGTAAATAAATTGCCTGCCAGAACAAAATTCAACACACTTCAAATGAAGAAAAAAATAACCCACATTCCCTACATCTTAACATTCACAAGGCCCAAGATACAATAAAAATTTACTAGACATACAAAGAAGTGGGAAAATCTGACCCTTAATTGAGAAAAAAGAATTGGGCAAAAGAAACAGACAAGTATTTAAGACAGTTCTTACAAATATAATCAATAACATTAAATAAAAGATGAACACAATGAGTCAAGGGATGGGGAATCGCAAGTATTTGATGGGAAATAAGAATCATAAAATAAACTAAATGGAAATTATATAACTGAAAATTACAATATGTGAAATTTAAAATTCACCAGAGGGGCTTAAGATCAAGTTTGAGACTGCGAAAGAAATGGCCAGTGAACTTAATGATAGAAGAATCGAAATTATGTGATCTGAAGTTTGGAAGAAAAAAAGTGAAAAGAAAACTGGAGCTTCAGTGACTTTTGGACAACATCAAGTGGTCTAAAATACATGTAACTGGAGTCAAAGAAGGAAAAGAGGGAGAGAAAGGGGCAGAAAAACTATTGGTGAAACAGTGGCTAAAATAATTCCCAATCAACCTCCAAATCTCAGTAACTCAGTGAACCTGAAACGCATTAAACACAAAGAAAATCAATGCTGAGTACATTGTAATAAAACTCTTGAATAGCAAAGATATAAAGAACATCTTATAAGTAGTCAGAGAAATGAAGACATTATATAGAGAGGAATTAATCATACAAAATACAGCTAATTTTTCATCACAAACAAGGGAGAGTTCAGAAGGTAATGGAACAACATCTTTAAAGCATAAAAAGAGAAAAGAAAAAGTCCAGAGTCCTATGTTGAACAAAATATTCTTCAAAACTGAGTTTAAAATAAAGATATTTTTAGGTAAACAAAAGCTGGAGAGAATTTGTGAGCAGCAGACCTGCATTACAAGAAATGATAACAGAAATTTTAGAGCCTGAAAAAAATACTAGCTGAGCATTCAAATCTATATAAAGGAAGAAAGAGTACCAATAATGGTAAATATGTAGATAAACATATAAAGCTATATTTTTTCATCTCTTAAATTCATTAAAAAAATGATTATTTAAAACACATTTCCTTGTATTATAGGGTTTATAATATGTTTCTAAATATAACATATGACAATAGCACAAAGAAGCGGGTGTAAATGTAACTATACTGATGTAAAGTTTTACGTAAGAAAAAGTACAGTATCTCTAATTACACTATAATAATGCATATTGTAATTTTTAGCCTTTGCAATCAAGAATTAGCAAAGTTATCTGAAGATATAAAAAATACTAATCATAACAGAAAAAAATTGATAAATTGTAGTTTTTCAAATTTTAAACTTAAAAATATCTTTCAGAAAATGAAAAGGCAAATGCCTCAGACTAGGAGGAAATATTACACACACGTATATGTATATGTGCATATGCATATATTATATGTTAAATATTATATGACTATATACATGACAAGAACTTATGTCCAGAATAACCAAAGAACTACAGCTCAGTAATAAAACAACCCCAAAAAAGTAGAAAATGGGTAAAATATTTTGACACCTCACACAAAAAATAAACACATGGACAACAAACATATGAAAAGTGCTCAACATCATTATACGAAGGGAAATGCAAATTAAAACCACAAGGAGATATCATTTCACAGACACACACGAGAATGGCTAAAATAAAACAAGACAATAATACAAATGTCAGTAAAATGCAGAGTAACTAGAACTCAAGCGCACTGCTGGAGTCTATACTGATGCAACCATTTTAGAAAACACTTTGGCAATTTCTTATGAAGTTCAACATACATCTTCTATATGACCCAACCAACTATAAAGAAGTAAAAAAAATGCAAGATTGACTAGGTAGAAAAAAGGAAAGAAAAGAGGGAAGGAGGGAGGTAATCATAGCAATATCAGACTGAAATTTACATTAAGAAAATTATACTAGAAGACAGTAGATTGAAAAACTTCTGCTTATCATTCAATTTCTTTAATGAATAAACTATTCCAAGTAGAAAAAGAAGACGTCAATATCTCCTGCCTACCAAGACAAAGATCTGAGGTCCCATAACATCCTACTAACACCTTCCATAAGGAACTCTTTTATTTAAACTACATATATACACACACATATATACATTTGTATATATATATATATATAGTACACGTGTGTATATATACACATGTGTGCACATATCTATTCACACGTGTATACACATTTACATATATATTTTGAGAAATAATCCTGTTAATGACGTCTAATGTCATAACCCTATAAAATGAAATGGCCATTATCAGGAAGCAAAAATGTCACTTGGCACAGAGAGAGAGCTAGAAAGCAGGAGGGATTGAGGAAAGGTAAGAAGGACAAAAGGGAGAGAGGGAGAGAACACATCTTTTAGCACAGCTAAATAATTCCCCAGCATCCTTAGCTCATTGCAAAAATTTTGAGTTTCTGAGAAGCCCTTCTTCTCAGAAGATAGCCGATGGCCTAAAGTTTAATTCTCCTAATCACGGCCACATGAAAGGAAATTTTACATAGTCAATGTGCAAGAGAACAGGAAGGGTTACAGCCCAAAGGTAAACACTCTGTGTTTTTTCAAAACAATTTAACATTCCTCCAGAGTTGTCATAGGCAAAGCCAATAATCTCCTATGTAAAACGTAGAAATTAAGCAAAGAAGTGAGTATTTAACCCACTCTCTCTTACAGGAGATAATCAAGGATCTAAATTAAGGTTATGCATTCTTCTTTTCAGAGGAAAAGAAAAAAAAAATCTGAAATCATCCATTAAAAATTAGAGAAGGGTTTGTAGAAACATCACTGGCTTGAATGTAGTTATATTATTAGAAAATTAATTTGTTTTTCTAATAGCTTTATTGAATTTCTGATACAATATATATTACGTCTAGAGAGCAATTATTTTAACCTCATGAAAATTCAGCTACATTATTCATAATGACTGTCCAAAAAAATGACTCTTTGCAACTAGTTTATCTATAATCCCAGTCAGGACCGAGATTACCCCCAACTTCTTTCTGAAAAAGAGCAACCACACACTTCCCAAGTATTCAGTCAAGATACAAAGGCTCCTTTGGATTCTTACTTGTTACAGCCATCTGGCCTGGTGTCAGAAGGGCCGACCACAGTGTCCATGAATGTTGCAACATTGGAAAATCCAGCTGGCAATTCATCCCATTCATCAAATTTGATGCCACTGCCCAAGGAGTAGGTGCCTTCACCACACTTACTGCATACCTGGTTCTTCATTTCTAAATACTCTCCAGAAGCACAGGAGAAAGCTGGAAGGCAGAAGATTGTATAATCCATTAGTCACTGCACTCCCCCATCAACTTCCTCCCCTTCACATTGCCATCAGAATTATTTTTCTAAAGCTCTGATCATGTCACACCCTAATTAAAGCTTTCCAAAGTCTCTTATCACTACATGCACTTCACAATCTGGGCCCAATCTGTTTTACCAGGCTCATCCCTTGTCCCATCCTCTTCCAACCATAACGAAATTTATATCATTCCCAAAATATTTCATCCTCTTTCTTGCTGCTACGCTCTTCTTTCTCTGGAGACACTGACAACCCACCAGCTCTACCTGGAAAACTCCTGTTCCAACTCAGAAAGGACTCTCTTCATAACAGACCTCCCATGCAGGCAGTTGTGCCTCCCTCTGTGTTCCTACAATACTTTTCTCGCAATACTTCCAATAAGTGCGCACACACACACACACACACACACACACCATTTATCAGCTCATGGGAGATTCTGAGCTTCCAGAAAACAAGGATTACTTTTTGGATTACTAATTGTATCTGACAAACACTAAGTCCGACTAAAAGGCTGATCCAGTGAGTGAGAATGAAACATAAAGAGGATAATGGATGGGAGGGCAGTGTTTCACACGCAATAGCTAAACAAGTATCCTCACTATGAAGCCATAAGCCCACTTTTCCAATATTCACAACTCCAGCCTAGACATCTCCACAACCTATATCTTATTACTGATGTCACATTCTCTGCTAATTCTGAGAAGTGTATGCAGAGACAGCAGGCAAGGGCAACGTGAAGATCAGTTGACGCAGTTACAGAAAAGAAGGCAGCTCTGAGGCTAAGCTATTATTCATTCAACAAATGCAAATCTATGTCCCCCAAGTGTGTGGTTCTGTGCTCAGAGTGGTATTAGTGACTCAAATATAGCAAAGGGCTTTCTAATCCTTTAATCAGGATATTAAAGAAACAAGAAGAAAATAAAACCTCCAAATTATCCTATGAAGAGAAACAAATCTCTCGGCAGAGAGCAAAGCAGCAAAACCTCACATCTCTTTTGGAAACTTAGCAAGAAATAAAAACAAGCCAATTTTGAAAAACTAATTAAAGAATTAGAGCTAAACCCCACACTCATCTACTTACTTATTCACTGAATAAATATAATAGTTTTCTTCAGCAAAGCTTAAGATGCTGTACAATGAACTTCTAACTCTTGCATCAAGATCCTAAAATTAGTAAAACATCAGAAAATAAGACAAGTTTAAGCAAAGAATATTGCACACTGGCTACAAGGTTAAAACTATCCTGGGACCAGGTTGTACCACTTCCTAATTCTGTGACCTTGAGGGAGTTACTTCATATCTCTAGGCCTTAGTTTCTATCTCTGAAAAATGAGATAATAACCATAGTATATTTACTTTCTGATAAAATAAAGTTCTCTTGGAAGACAGTTTAGTGTCCAAAATTGAACTTTTAACTTAATTAATAAGTAATATTTTATGATAACTTGTTTCAAGGAACTCTAGAAGCTAAAAAGGAGAAGATTGTGTTTGTAAAGTGTGTCTTCTAAACACACTGACACTATTTTAGAGAGTGTTCACCACAATGTAAAAGTCATTAAGAATATCTCCAACTCTTTCAGAGATGTTTCCTTGTCTAAGGCCAGAAAGAAAAAACTGAGAGATAAAGTTGAAAGTTAATGTAGTCAATATTTACTACAGTCAATTCTTGCTATTCACAGTAGTCAAATAAAGTTGTTGTGAACACGAAATTAGCAAATACTGAACAACTGCTCCTATAAACAAGGTCGGATTCCTGCAAGCCTCTGGTCACAATATCTTCACCAACCAGTCAATACATAACCTTGTTTTATGTATGTTTCAGTTTAAAAACATCTTATTTAATATACATTGTTGAATCATTAACATTGAATTTATGTCCAAGAGCACTATAACTCATGCTTGAACTAAGCTTAACATATGTATTTTCTTTGAAAAGTCCATCATGGCCTTCTGGACATTAGGCTCACTAGCCAACACCTTAGCACTACATTTGGGGCCCATTTGAAACAATAAAATCACTAATAAAAAGCACAAAAATGCGGGGAAAAAACTTGGCATTGAATAGACTGTGAAAATGATACTTTGCTGACAAGATGAGAAATGAAATAAGAAGGCAGAATGTCACCTTGTTCGAGCTTAGCCAGGACCATGTGGTCAGTGACTCAAATTTTTCTTGCTCCGTACATGGCTGCAAATGCCTGTGAGGCTATTTGGGGTTTACAAATAAATTTTAGCAAGTAGGAGAATTTGCAAATATGAAACCCATGAATAATGAAGATTGACTGTATTATAACAGAACTGGGGGGCAGGGGGAGATATGATGCCCACTTACCAGAGAAGAAAACTGAGGCACAGTACATTTAAGTTAAGCTGACTAAAAAGGTACCCAGTTAAGAAGAAGCAAGGCTGATATG